AGGTTTCTTCCACTGTGGATTATCTGAATTATAGCAAGACTAAGATTTTTTTGTGAAAGTCATTCTACATTGATTACATTCATAACATTTCTGTACAGTGTGGATTTTCTGATGTGTAGAGAGACCAGAGCTCTATCTGAAAGTCTTTCCACATTGATTCATAAAGTTTCTCCCCATGTGGATTACAACCATAAATTTTCTTCCCAGTGTGGATTCTGATGCATAGTAAAAGTGAACCTTTTCGTGAAAAACTTTTCACATTGATTACATTCATAAAGTTTCTCAATAGTGTAAATTTTATGAGGGTCAATAAGCTTTGAGTTCTGGCTGAAAGCCTTCCTACCTTTATTCCCTATATAAACCAACTCTCTGGTATAACTTTTCTGATGTCTAATGGTATCTGACTTTCAAGTTGGTGTCCATTTCCCTTGATACATTTGCACTTGAGGAAGCTTCTCATAAGACTGAATAAGCCCAATCTTTTCGTTAATGCATTCCCTATCTTCACCATACTGAAAATTCATTCTATGAAGTCATTTTCTTAAATTGAATTGACAGAATATTGTTTGAAATGCTTTGTATCTTTATCAAATTCACAGCGACTATTTTGATTCTTCTCTATCGTGATACGAGTCATAGACTTCTCTTACATGAAATCAAAGGGACCATCACTCTTGACTCCTTTGCCGGCAAGAATTTTCCACAGAAATGCTCAGCTTCAAAGCAGTTTCATTCACTGTACACCTTGTGTCTATGAAGAAAATCTCTCTCTCCATATATGTGCATATATATGTATGCATATGCATACACACATACATTTTAAAAAAATTCTTCCTTCCATTGGAAGAAAGTAGGCTGACATATATTCTATTGCCCAGTCAAAAGGAAGAATTTTCAAACTCAATGGGCAGAATCAATTCAAAATGCCATTAACTCACATCTGCAGGTTGATTTAATTTATTTTATCTATTTGTTGCTTTTTGGTGAGGCAATCAGGGTTAAGTGATTCTCCCATGGTCACATAGCTAGTAAGCGTCAAGCGTCTAAAGCCAAATTTGAAATCAGATCCTACTGACTCCAAGGCCAGAGCTCTAGGATGATTTAATTTATGAAGAACTTCACAAACAGTAATACTGGATGCTCACAACAAACCTGTGACACATCAAGATGCTTATTATATTTTACAACTGAAGCATTGAGCTCAGAATAGCCAAGCGACATGACCAACATCCCTGTAGGAGACACTAGAATTCAAACCCTGGGACTGAATGTGCTTTTTCTCCAGCATTAGATGGTCTTTCTCCATTTAACTTTCACTCCTTCATTCAAATGACTTTTGTTGATTATTCTTTTTAATTTGCTCTTCTCAAGAAAGCCTCCTGCTTTTCTTTTTTGACTGTTTCTCAACCCATCAGCAAATTGTTTCCAAACTGCCAGAAAGATCTGACATTCAAGTGGAAGTCAGTTTCCGATGGATGTACAAAGATATGCACATACCCTCACTTGCTTTATGTAGTATGCTGTGCCACAGTAGTTCCCTCCTTCCAAGCCTGTCTTGTAATTGCATCTCATTAGTGCTGTAATCATCACTCAAGCTGGTACAAATGTTTGTGTCCTCACAGTGCGGAGGGCAGCTGTTTGAAAAACATGCTCACCAGACACAGACGCTACACGACTTCTCGAAAGCATCAGGGAACATCGCAACCGTTCTATGAAAAAACACCTTACATTGTCACTCGATATGGTGTTGAGGCTAGTTTCTTTATTTGAACTTATCTTCTGTTTACGTTACTAGTTTTCTATCAGGCACATTTTTCAGAGGATCTGGTTGGTAACACAGGTCAGTCATTCTGTAGAGTTTCTGTGAGGGTGTAGACAGTGTGCCAGTGGTAGAAGAAACATATATCTAAAGATTTCTTCCCCTAAAAATGTTATTTTATATAAAAACACTTTAAAAAAAGGCAAAACAATAAAGGCATTTATCACTTAATATACTACTTGTCATTAGCAAACAGTAAGACAAATCTTTTTATATCAACTAGTGATTTATTTTGATGACTGCTTTGTAGGGCTAAAAAAGAAAAAAAAATGAATTTCTATTCCCCAGCAAGAGAAGCTGTAAAATTCTCCTACATTTTCCATCTCATCCACCTGTGAGTGAGCATTTTCACTGTATTCTGGTTATAAAGCAAAAAATAATAAAAATAAATAAATAAAAACAAAAAACAAACAACCCCCCCAACTGGAAATAGCTGGATCTAGGAATCCGAAAGACATGACCCTGTGCAAGTCACTTAATCTTTTCTTGACAGTTTCCTCAACTGTAAAATAGGGATAATATCAGCATCTACCCCACAACATTGTGGGGATTAAATGAAATAATGTCTGTAAATTACTTAGCCCAACATCTAGCACATTGCAGGTACTACATAAATGCTATTTTATATATTATAATTTTTGTTGTTTTTCTTATTATTATATCAACTGGATACAGAACCACACTGAAGATTGAATTTGGAAGATCTTGAACCAAAATACTGCAAACCTTCATTCAAGGGAAAAAATCTAACTTTTAAATGAATTTTATATATTATATTATGCTTAACACCTTCCAAGTTATAATTTATTTGAAGAAAAAATGTTATTAATATTCATCAAAATCTTTAAAATAAAGAAATTTAAATTGAAGTCTTACAGATAAGAAGTCCTACTATGTTTTTATATTTTAATTTTTATTTGATATTTTATTTTTCCCCAGTTACATTTAAAAACAATTTTCAGCATTCATTTTTAAAACTCCACTCCCTATTATTGAAAAGGCAAGCAATTCAATATAGGTTATACATGTACAGTCATAAGAAACATTTCCATAATAGTCATGTTGTAAAAGAAAACAGAGGAAAAACCCTCAAGAAAAATAAAGTAAAAAAAAAAGTATGCCTCAATCTGTATTCAGACACTGTCAGTTTCTTCTCTGGGGATGGATAGCATCTTTCAACACAAGTCCTTCAAAATTGTCTTGGATTGTTGTATTGGTGAGAATAGTAAGTCATTCACAGCTGATCATCTTACTATAGTATGGTTACTTTGTACACAGTACATTTCACTTCGTATCAGCTCATGTAAGTCTTTCCAGGTTTTTCTCTGAGCACCTGCTCATCATTTCTTGTAGCACAATGGTATTCCATCACAAGCATATACGACAATTTGTTCAGCCATTCCCCAACTGATGGGCATCCCCTCAATTTCCAATTCTTTACCATCAGGAAAGACTACTATAAATATGTCTGTACATACAGATCCCTTTCCTTTTTGAAAAACCTCTTTTCTAGTATTGCTAGGTCAAAGGAAATGCATGGTTTTATAGCCCTTTGGGCATGGTTCCAAATTGCTCTACAGAATGGCTGAATCAGTTCTCAAGTTCACCAATGGTACATTAATGTCTCATTTTTCCCACCCACCCCCAACATTGCTAGTTTTCCTTTTCTGTCCTATCAGCTAATTTAATAGGTATGAGGTAGTACCTCAGAATTATTTTAATTTGCATTTCTCCAATCAACAGTGATTTGGAGTATTTTTTACATATAACTATAGATAGCTTTGATTATTTCATCTGAAAACTGTTCCTATCTTTTGATCACTTGTTAATTAGGGAACGGCTCTTATTTTTATAAATTTGATTCAGTTCTTCATAGGTTTGAGAAATGAGGCCTTGATCAGAGAAACGTGCTTCAAAAAGGTTTTTTCAGTTACTATTGCTAACTGTATTCCCTCCATCCCATTTCTCATCTGTTCTACTATCTATCCTCAAAAGTGTTTTGCTTCTGACTACCCCCTCCCTCAATCTGCCCTCCCTTCTATCACTCCCCCTTCTCTTATTCCCTTCTCCTCCTACTTTCCTGTAGAGTAGGATAGATTTCCATACCAAATTGAGTGTTATTCCCTTTGAGCCAATTCTGATGAAAGGTTCACTTACTCCCCTTTATTTCCCCATTGTTCCCCTAAATTGTAAAAGCTTTTTCTTGCCTCTTTTATGTGAGATAATTTGCCCCATTCTACCTCTTCCTTTTCCTTTCTCCCAGTACATTCCTCTCTCACCCCTTGTTTTATTTTTTATATATCACCCCTTAATATTCAACTCATACCTGTGTCCTCTGTTTATATATACTCCTAATTGCCCTAATGATGAAAATGTTCTCATTAGCTACAAGTATCCCCTTCCCATGTAGGAATGTAAACAGTTTAACCTTAAGTCCCTTACGATTTCCCTTTCCTATTTCCCTTTTTATATTTCTCTTCAGTCTTATATTTGTGACCCGGGCCGGATCCTTCAGGTACTTCTCCTTCCTGGGAGCTAGGCTTCGGACGTCTCCGGACCCACCCTGGGGAAAAGATGGGCTCAAGGACCAGACAGGACGCGAGTGCGGTGTAAGATCTTTATTGCAGAGGACTCCCCCGATCCCTTGCTCTTAGCCCGTTATATACACTTACAAGAGCCCACCCCTCCGAGCCTCGTGAGACTCTGCGCCCCTCCCCTGTTCTATCCTAGAGGCGGAGCCACCCCGTGACCGTCAGCTGAGCGTAACTCAGCAACCTACGGCCGGGGGTCTACCACGACCCTTCCTAGGAAGCCAGGGTCCAGGGCGCCCCTGTCAACTCCCCCTTTTTGTTTAAACAAGGACAGGGTTTTTCTTAGGGAGGGAGATGTCGGCTTTGAAGCTTTCAAGAGAGTGCCGCAGCACACGGAGCCAACAAGAGAAAAGGCAAGGGGCAATAAAGCAGACAAGGATCAGGAAGCCTGCACCATAGAAGAGCCAAAGAAGGAAATGCGAAAACCCCAAGTTATGTAACCAGCTGAAAAATTGATCAAAAGGGGAATCAGGGAAGAGATTATCCCTTGTTTGGCGGGTGACATTGCGAATATGCTCCAAAACAATGTCCAATTGACCAAGGCAATCTTCCATTTGCTCAAAGTCAGTCAAGTTCTTAATCAAAGTCAATGGAAGAGTTAGGATGAAGTGCAGTGACACACATGGGCGGTTGAAACTCATAAGAACATCCAACAGTAGAAAGCTTTTCGGCAATAGTCACCTCCAGCACAGTATCAGCTAACACTGTAGCCATGAGCTCAACCTTGTTTAACAGGAGACGATTAAATCGTTGTTGCACAGTCCACGCTTGGGTGGTTTCTTCCATGAACTCCTCCAAATGCCGTGCTAGAAGACTCAGTTGATGGTTCACCAGAACGAGATCTAATGCTTCAGCAATATTTAGTGCAAGGTTGATGAGGTCGAGACCTCCCACCTCTCTCCGATAGCGGCGCAATAGGAATCTCTCTATAGGCGATTGCGCAAAAGGTTGTGTAGTTAACACTGGCACAAAGGTGATAGGCGGCACTCGAAGAAGGAGGACCATGGTGGCGTTGGAGGCTACGTCTGTAGATTGTAAGGTATTGGAGAACGATCCGTTGGAGCAGTGTACAGCGTATTCTGCAGAGGAGGGAGTGATGGTGCCATTACGACAGATCCAAAACATGTCACGATCCGAAGTCGTCTGGATGGTCACGTTAAAATCGTTACAGTGTCCTAATTGACCATGGCTGTTGCAAGTACGCCCTGCTGAAAATAACAAGTCCCACCACCAGTTCCGAAGAGTGCTGTTGTCAGATAGAGGTGCACTGTTATCTGTGAAATGGATCAAAGGTGCAAAGGCAGCAGCCAATTTCCACAGATGTGCATGGGCTATAGGTCCTCGAGGGCTTCGCACATGGGGTACCGGGGCCGCAAACCAAGGACCCGGTTGTCCATCCAGAAAGTAGAGTTGAGTCCCGTTCACGTTCTCGCCATCTACTTGATGCCCTGTAGAACAGATTTGGAAGCCTACAAACATGTTAGGGGAAGGGGTGCAAAGAGGGAGTGGGGAGAGAAAAAACCCGCTAGTGACATTTTGGGTGTAACTATGGCTGCTGATGTTACTGAACCCGGAGTTGGTATGGTTCAGCCACAGTGAGTAATTTTGATGTCTCTGATAGAGCGTGCTACGCTGATGTTGTAAGACATAAAAATGTATATGGTCCCCTTTCCCTATCCAACCGTGGGGTCCATGCGGTAACTCAGTGATGGTATCATTTTCTACCTGAGCACAACCGGCGTGGGCACCTTTGCTGAGGCAAATGGGTAGTGTGGGACTCCTCATAATAATGGTCTTATTTTGTTCATGGGAGATAACTGGCCGTTCCACCCTCCGCCCATGAGGAGTGAAGCATTGGAAACCACAACTAGGGGAACAGGATCCCCATTCCAAGTAACTGGACGTGGTTGGGGGAAGTGTCGTACTAGTGCCCAATAGGTATGCTCCTGGTTAAGGTTAGTCCAGGGCTTAGCAGTGTGATTTAGCTGTGCAACCAGGTGTTTCGCCGAACGCCCTTCGGCGCCGACGGGCAACCCCCACCCAAGGCCAAGACTAAGAATGGCCAAAGAGAAAACACAGTGGGAGATCCGCTTCCTATTCTCCTTCTTCAGCCTCCTGGATTGACGTCCGCGGCGTCCTCGCTTCCGCCTCCTTCTCTGCGTCCGCTCCTTTCGCCAGTTCTCTAACCCAGCGGACGGGAACCCAGCGACCTTCTCCATTCTGTGGAGACACGAATAGATAACCCTTCCCCCGGATAGTTACCCTATCTGGACCATGCCACACACCCTCAGGGTCTCTCCACATAACAGAAGCGCCTTGCTCCAGCAGCTCCTGCCGTGGGGCCAAAGACGGTGCGTGCACACCGGTATCACGTGGGCGAAAAAACCATCAGCTCGGGTTAGGCCATCATCAGTCACTTGCAGGAAATTTAAAGCGAATAAAACCTGATCAAGGAGGGCCCTGGTGAGTCTGCCTGGGACTCCCCCTTTTTGTTTAACAAGAAGCTGCTTCAAAGTTTGGTGGGCTCGTTCGACAATGGCCTGTCCGGTGGGATTATGGGGAATGCCGGTCACGTGCCGTATGCCGAATTCAGCAAGGAAAGTCGCGAGAGAGCGCGAGCGATAAGCGGGACCATTGTCCGTTTTAATTGTGTGGGGGAGACCGGCTATGGAAAAACAATATAACAGATGAGCACGAACACTTGAGACATTTTCACGAGGTTGAATGGAGGCCATAAGGAAGCCGGAATAAGTGTCTATTGACACATGAATAAGAGTAGTTTGAAAATGGGTCACATCCATTTGCCACAAGGCATTAGGTGTTTGACCACGGGGATTGTAAGTCGGTATAGGGGGGTGGTGGTCGAAAAGGAGCACAATTAGGGCAAGCTCTCACGATTTGTCTGGCTTGCTCTCTGGGAATGCCAAACATTGTTCTTAAAGTGTGAGCAGAAAGGTGTAATTTCTGATGAGCCGTGTAAGGTGTCATAAAGAATACATCAGTAGGGGCTTGTTGTAAAGCCGCATCCGCTACGGCATTGCCCTGATATAAAGGTCCGTATGGGCCTATATGAGAGCGGACATGAAGTACATAAATCGGTGTAGTTCGGCTCAGCAGGTGCTGCTGCAATCGCTGAAAGAGCGGGAGGACGGACGAAGGTGACCATGCCAAGGCAGCATCAGGTAAATGCTGGAATGCATGATAACAATACATACTATCTGTGATAAGATTAAAAGATTCTTTTGCTAAGAATTCACAAGCGCTGATAATAGCTGCCAATTCATTCTGCTGAGCAGAATTGTAGGGGGTAGCATACACTTGTAAAACCTTCCTTTCTGGGATGTAAAAGGCTGCTTTTAGGTGTCTTGTGGCGTCTGTAAACACATTTGATCCCTGCACTGGTTCTGTAGCTATTATAGTGCTAGGACGTTGAAGGGGAACAGCTTGCCACAGACGTAAAGCTGGGGGTAACGCTAACGGTAGAATGGTGTGGGTAACAAGTCAGACCGCCCAAGCTTCGCTAGTTAAAGCGAGCTCCTGTAGCACCTGAGGGGTTATATTAAGAGTTATAAGAGGTTCCTTACCGCTAACCCTTCGTGCCGTGGCACTTGCTTTTAGCAGCAAGTGAGCTTAGGTTTCCATTCTATTAGGGAGTGCTTTTTTGTCTCTGTCTGGATAAACCCACATAAGCGGTCCGTGCTGTTGATAGATCACTGCCAACATGCCTTTATATTCATCTTGTAAGAGAGTGACGTAGAGGGGGGTTTGCAAATCTCTACGTTGTACTTGCTGTTTACACTGATGCTGAATATATTGTATTGCTTCAGGGCGCTCGTGGTCCATTGTCTGGGAGAAGTTAAAGCAGAGGGCCCTTTAAGACAATCATAAAGTGGCTGCATGACAGCATCTGAGATAGGGACCACTCCTCGAAGCCACTGTATGGCACCAATCAATCTTTGAAAATCATTGAGTGTCTTTACTTTGGAAGTATCTATTTGAGGCCATGGACGATAAATGGCAGTCTCAGTCACTCGGTGGCCTAGGTATGAGACTGGATCGCCCTTTTGTATCTTCTCAGGAGCCACTTCTAAACCTGCTCGTTCTAGCATTCCTAGGCATTGTTGTAACAAAATCTCCGTTTCCTGTGTATTCGGGCTGGCTAGCAAGATGTCGTCCATGTAATGGATGATCATTGCCTTTGGATGGGCCTCCCGGAGGGGCTGGAGAACGGCCTGTACAAAAGCCTGACACATGGTTGGACTGTTAGCCATCCCCTGAGGGAGGACAGTAAACTCAAAACGGCGATAAGGCTCTTGAAAATTCGGAGATGGAACAGAGAAGGCAAATTTTTCTGTATCCTTCTCTGCCAAGGGAATGCTGTAAAAGCAATCTTTTATATCTAAAACTGCAATGGCCCAATGTCGGGGAATCATACTAGGTGTGGGGAGCCCAGGTTGTAAGGCACCAAATGGGTATAAGGCCTCATTGACAGCTCTGAGATCAATGAGCATCCTCCACTTTCCCGATTTTTTCTTAATAACAAACACAGGTGAGTTGTAAGGACTCTGCGAGGGCTGCACATGCTTGGCCTGTAGTAGACCGTTTACTATATTATTTAGGGCCTCAATTTTCTCTGTAGTTAGTGGCCACTGGTCTATCCAAATTGGTGTTTCATGTTTCCACTTAAGGGGAATGGGTTGTGGCCCCCCAGTGGCCCACATTAGTTTAAAGGGTCAGTAGTCAAAACAGCTCCCATTTGCTCCAAAATGTCACGCCCCCATAAAGCTATGGGCACTCCTGTAAGGCACATAGGACGAAAAAACCCATCCTGTCCCTCACTGTCCCATCGGAGCAGTCTAACAGATCGCATCCCAACGGCTCCGCCGCCTACTCCTGTCACAGAGCCCCTAGGTCCTAGCTCCCAAGCTTTGTCCCATTCACTCTCAGGGATAACAGAAATATCTGCCCCCGTGTCCAAGAGGCCTGTGATTAGTCGCCCCTCAACCCGCACCTCCAATTGGGGTCTGTCCTGTCCTATACTTTGTGTCCACGCCACCCAATTCTGTTGTTTCTGTGGGGCTAAGGGAAGAGAAGCTGCGATCGGCTGACCTGGCTCAATGCGTATTGACGTTGCATGAGGATTGGTGAGAAAAATGTGTTTCTGGCCAGCCTTCTGCACTTGGGTATGTACTATGACATCTTTCATCCGTGACGTCCCAATGATTAATCTGGGCTCAGTGGCCATCCCTATTTCCACTGTACTCGTTGTCCATGGTCCCAATGTTAACGTTTGGACAGGGTAGAGTATATTACCGCCCGAGGTTGTAGCTGCGGGTGTCCCTTCTCGGGCTAAGGCACCCGCCGTTCGTTTCCCTGCGGTTTCCTCTCTTGCCTTCCTGGTTGCCTCTCCTGTAACCCCGTACGTCTTTCCTTTCTTCCCTGTCTACAATACTTCTTAATATGTCCCGCCTTCCGCACTTAAAACAGCGGACTTGTGGGGCACCCTGGGTACACTGACTTTGAAAATGACCTGCTTTCCCGCAACGGAAACAAGTCCCCTTTGCTCTAGTCCCCGTGTTAACTGCCTGCGCTGCAGCGAAAGCCTCAGTCAGTACCTGGACCATGCCTGCATCAGGTAAGGGACCTTCCTCCAGGCAGACATCAATGCATTCTTCCCATGTGGGGTCTGGTGGTAACTTTGACAACAACCCTCGTGACTGTTTAAGTCCTTCTTTGAAAAGCTGTATCAGCAGCTTTTGGGCAACATCTCCTGCTCCATATCTCTTTTCCACAACCTCTTGTGCTCGGGACGCGAATTCCATGGCACTTTCTTTTGGCCTTTGCACGAGTTTGTTTAAAGGAGGTTGCGATTTCTCCCCTAGTCTATCCAATGCTTTTAGCGCCACTATCTGAGCACCTTGTATGACAAGGTCTGGGAGTAAGAGCTGTGCCTGCAGCCCAGCATGCTGGCCATACCCAGTTAGCATATTAATGGTATCTTCTACATTCTGAGGGAAATTAATCTCCGCCCAGGTCCTAGACTCTCGGCGTCTATACGCCGACCAGGCGGTGTAAGCAGCACTCTCCAATACAGCAGACATAATTTCATCCCAATCCCCTGGGGTCCAAGCGGCCACAGCCACAGTAGATTGCAACAGCTGCTTGACATAAGAAGAGCCTGCTCCATATAATTTTACTGCCTCTTTCAAATCTTTCATGAACTTGTAGGGCACTGGTCGGTGAGACCGACCACCTCCTCCGGCACCTCCCTGGACAAAAATTGGGAATTCTTGTCCCCACTCTTTCCAGTCTACTACCTGCCCATCCCTGGCGGCCTCTCGCAATGAATGCTGTAAAAGTGAGGCCTGCGGGGCCCGTTCATTCTTCCCTCTTTTATCAAGCCGCATTTGGTTTATTTGGGCCTGTAATTGCTGTATCTGCATTTCTAACTGCGCCACAGGCGGAACTTCCTCTGTCTGGAATTCTAACTGCGCCACAGGCGGAACTTCCTCTTTCTGAAATTCTAACTGCGCCACAGGCGGAACTTCCTCTTTCGCTGCCAACGTGGCACATACGGGGGGAGCGGCTCCGGAGGGAGAGGCTCCAGACTCGGCCATGGTGCAGACGGTATTTCAGGGGGCTTAGGAGGCTCAGGCCATGGCTCCTCTTGACCCTCAAGGTCTTGTTCCCCTCCTAATAAGGATGCTCCTACTTGTGTCTCCTCCGCTACTATTACCGGCGGAGGGCACGGAGAGAGGGCGAAAGTCACAATGCCATAAAGAGTAAAATCCTCTGGTGTTAAAAACCCTGGTTCTGTCTCTGCGTAGGAGGACATCTGACTCCCAACTATTTTCCATCTTTGATAATCAACCCTTGGTTCTGTAACCACGGAGACACCACTATAAGCTTTTCTACCCATTCCTGACAGCGTCTCAGCTGTATTTTTACCCCATTATCCCTACAAAGCTTATACACTTGTAGGACTAGCACTCGCTTATCCTCCGGCTTAATTCCTTTACTGTATCGTGCTCCCATCTCTCCCTCTATGCAGCCCCGATCTGCATAGGCTGTCGGTCCCTTCCTCTCTTTCACTGGAGAGAGGGTACTTACCCGTACCTGGCGGGGTCACCGAAGAGGAGCTCAGGTCCCTGTTCGGGCGCCACTTGACCCGGGCCGGATCCTTCAGGTACTTCTCCTTCCTGGGAGCTAGGCTTCGGACGTCTCCGGACCCACCCTGGGGAAAAGATGGGCTCAAGGACCAGACAGGACGCAAGTGCGGTGTAAGATCTTTATTGCAGAGGACTCCCCTGATCCCTTGCTCTTAGCCCGTTATATACACTTACAAGAGCCCACCCCTCCGAGCCTCGTGAGACTCTGCGCCCCTCCCCTGTTCTATCCTAGAGGCGGAGCCACCCCGTGACCGTCAGCTGAGCGTAACTCAGCAACCTACGGCCGGGGGTCTACCACGACCCTTCCTAGGAAGCCAGGGTCCAGGGCGCCCCTGTCATATTTGAAAGTCGAATTTTCTATTCAGCTCTGGTCTTTTCATCAAGAATGCTTTAAAACTCTCTATTTAATTCAATGTCCATTTTCCCCCTGAAGGATTATACTCAGGTTGGCTGGGTAGGTGATTCTTTGTTGTAATCCTAGCTCCTTTGCCCTCCAGGATTTTCCATATTCTAGGCCCTCTGATCCTTTAATGTAGAAGCTGCTAAATCTTGTGTCATCCTGATGGTGTTAAATTGTTTCTTTCTGGCTACTTGAAATAGTTCCTCCTTGAACAGGAAGCTCTGAAATTTGGCTATAACTTTCCTTGGAGTTTTCATTTTAGCATCTCTTTCAGAAGTTGATTAGTGGATTCTTTCAATTTCTATTTTACCAGTTGGTTCTAGAATATCACAGCAGTTTTCCTTGATAATTTCTTACAAGATGATGTCTAGGCTCTTTTTTCTGATCATGACTTTCAGTCAGGTGGTCCAATAATTTTTAAATTCTCTCTCCTGGATCTATTTTCCAAGTCAGTTGTTTTTCCAATGAGATATTTCTATTGTCTTCTGTTTTTTTATTCTTTTGGTCTTGTTTTATTATTTCTTGATTTCTTATGAAGTCATTAGCTTCTATTTGCTCAATTCTAATTTTTAAGGAATTATTTTCTTCACTGAGCTTTTATACCTCCTTTTTCATTTGGTCAATTCTGATTTTTTAAGGCATTCTTCTCCTCATTGGCTTTTTGTTCCTCTTTTATTAGCCTGTTTTTAAAGGTGTTACTTTCTTCAGTATTTTTTTGTGCCTCCCTTACCAAGCTGTTGACTTGTTTTTCATGACTTTCTTGCATCACTCTCATCACTCCCAATTTTTCCTCTACCTCTCTTACTTGATTTCCAAAATCTTTTTTGAGCTCTTCCTTGGCCTAAGACCAATTCATATTTTGGATGTGGGAGCTTTGACTTTGTTATCTTCTTCTGAGTGTGTGTTTTAATTTTCTTTGTCACCATAATGACCTTCCATACTCAAAATATTTTTCTGTTGTTTGCTCATTTCCCCAAACTATTACTTGACTTTTAACTCTTTGTTAAAGTAGGGTTCTGCTTCCAGGGTGGAGGGTGAACTGTCCTAAGCTTCAGGGGTTTTCTGCAGCTGTTTTCAGAGATACTCCTAGGGACCTGCAAATTTTCAGTTCTTCCAAGGTGGTACGATCTAAGGGAGAGGTGTTACTGCTCCCCTGGCCCGTGCTCTTGTCTGTGAGTGACCACAAGCACTCTTTTTTGCCTTGGAACTATAAGGAAGGTCCCCACTCCACTGTGGCCCCCCCCCCCAACACTTTGGTGTACTAGTGCTCCTCCTTGCCGTAGGACTACCACCCAGGATGGGACCTGGATCTGAGTATGGGCAGAGCAACAAAGTCCTGCCTCAGTCCTAGCAGAGACCCTTGTCATCTCCTTCTGACCAGCTGTTCAACTCCTTTACCACCTGTGGGCTGAGAGCTCTGCAAGCTGCTGCTTCCACTGCTGATTCGGTGGTTCCTAAAGCCTGATCCTCGCTTGCGGGGGCCAGCACTGTGCTGGCATGGCCTGTGCTCCACTGTCACCCAGGTGCCACAGACTTTTTCCTGCTAACCCTCTCAACTGTCTTTGGCGTCTATGGGCTGAGAAGTCTAGAAACCACTACTGCTGCTACTTGATTCAGTCACCCTGAGGCCTGCTTCTCATTTGCTGGGGCCTGGTCTGCACTGAGGCAGCCTGCATTGGACTATGCTCCTCTCAACTTGGTGCAACGGACCTGTCCTGCCAACCTTGTATGTTATCTTGGGCTGGAAAATTGTTTCACTCCATCTTTTTGTGGGTTCTGCCATTCTAGAATTTGTTTAGCGTCATTATTTAAAAGTATTTGAAGGACAGCTCAGGCAAGTGCCTGCCTTTACTCTGCCATCCTGGCTCTGCCACCCTACTATATTTAAGAAAAAAAAAAGAATTCTTGTAGTAAGCCCTATGTTAAAATTCCACAATTATTTTCTACTTAGGATACTATCATTTTTAATTTGTTTTCACTACTTAAGCAGAATAAAATATTACAATTTATGATAGTATACTGTGATGAAAGTATTGAGAGCTTTGAGGGGCAAACATCTTCCAGGTCATTACTGGAGGAATTAAATGTACAAAAAATAAAAATATGAGTAGTAGCTTAAATTACTGGGGAGATTAACAACACACTTGTTAGTCTTTAGAGAGGCCCTAAGAACCAAAGATTTGGGAATGATTGCTCTGAAATCATGGTTGTTTGCTGCATTGATGAATGTTGCTCCATATAAACTATTCTACTCATTCTGTTCATTTGTCAGTATCTGTTCATTCAAGTCTTCCCAGGTCTCTCTAAAACTGTGCCTTTTATCATTTCTTGAGACTGAACAATCTTCCATTTTATTCTTAGACAATCAATCATTTGTTTAGATATTGCCCAATATATGGCAGCCATCCTGGTTTCCAGTTCTTTGAAACAACAAAAAAATAACAGCTATAATTTCTGGTTATGTTTATGGGTCTTTTCTTTCTTTCTTTAATTCCTGTAGGTGACAGGTTTACTAGTGGTTATCACTAGGTACAAGGATATCCAGATGAGTTAGTCGGGGGGCAGAGTTATAAATTCCAATACAGAATGAAATCCTTCAATTTTCATGCTGGGTGAATCTTTCTTCCAAAGGTGTTACTTATGCACTGCATGTAGTCAGGTTCTGCTGCCTTCCTCCACAGCAGGTACACCCTAGTTTCCTTCTTCTCCCTTACCTGCCTCTTCTTCTTTCTTGCTTCCTTTTTCCATCCCCCCCACCTCGTTACCTGCACCTCATTAGACTGTAAGATCCTGGAGGACAGGGACTGTCTTTTTTAAATTAATTATACCCCTGGCACTTGGCACAATGCCTGGCACATAGCAGGTGCTTAAAAATGTTTATAAGATTGTGTTATTAGACTGGGTCTGACCTCAGAATATTCTCTCCTCTTCCATTCCCATTTTTTCCCACCAATTTTCAATCTTTCTCTGCCTATTGCCCTATATCTCTCCCCTCTCACTGCTAAATACCTGGAGATGGCCATCTGCAATTGTTGTCTCCAGCTCCTTTCCCTTCATTCTCTTTGAAACTCTCTGCAGTCTGGCTTCCAACTTCCTTGTTCAATTAAAACAGTTCTCTGTGAAGTTATGAACCATCTCCAAACAGCTCAATCCACCGGCCTTTTCTCAATCCTCATCTTTCTTGACCTCTCTGCAACTTTTGACACTGTCAATCACCCCCGCTTTCCTGGATGCTCTCTTCTCTAGGTTTTAGGGATACTGCTCTGTCCTGGTTCTCCTCCCATGTCCTTGTCTTTTGACCTGCCCTCCCTCTTCTTATTTGACTACTGCTATCCTGGGGACCACCCTGCCAATCATCCAGGCTCATAACCTAGGTAATCACCGCACATACTCACAACCCACAATTCGATTCTTTGGAAAGTTCTGTTGACGCTGCTTTTGTGACCTTTCTCCCATATATGCCCTCTGTCCCAACACTGCCACTTTCTTGGTTCAGGCCTCACACGTGAGGTATTGCATGAGTTTGCTGGTTGGTCTCCCTGCCTCACTTCTCTCTCCAGTCCACTCACTCCTCCACACAGCTGTCAAATCCATCTTCCTAAATAAAGGCCACTTCTGACCATGGCACCAACTACTCAATACCCTCTAGTGGCTCCTATTACTAGGATCACATACAAAATCTTTTGGTTGCTAGACCCCATCATCTTCCCTTCCCCTTTTTCCAGTTTTCTCTCACCTTATTCCCACTCCAGATATGTGTACTTATTAAAAACCAAATGGAATGAGAAAAGCATTTTGTATTTGCAGTTGGCATAAAGCTGACAAATAGCTTATCATGAAATGTTTCTCCCTATGGAATCAAGAAGGTATATATTCTATCAGTGAGGCATGAGAATCTATAGAGGAGAAAGAGAGGCAATATGAAACTTTTTCCTCATCAGAACTGTCCTAGTGATATGTTAAGAAAATTCTATGAAGAAATTGTGAAAAGCCATCAAGTTCTGTGTATTCTATGGGTAAAGACATTATCTTTGATCACTGAAAAGAGAACAAAGAAAAAAATCCAGCTAATTTCCTAGAAGTCTAAAATAAAGTCTATCTACAAGAAAAACATGAAGAGAGTCATAAGAGACAGTAATAATAATCTAGACTGTACTTAGTAGTATGAGATTTTAATGAGTCAAGTGAAAAGTTATCTATGGTTATACTGAGGGTTTGAGGTGACCATGGATAAGAGTTATCACAGGCAAAATATCACATGTCTTTGCTTTATGACTGCTTTCACTTGTTAATGGTATATATTCATTAATGTTCATATTTCATAACCTGGAAAGACTTACATGAACTGATGCAAAATTAAGTAAGCAGAACGAGGAAAACACTGTAAACAGTAACAGCAACATTGTGTGATGATCAACTATGAATAATTTAGCTCTTCTCAGTAATACAGTGATCCAAGACAAGTTTGTCTTGAGCCAAGGCAGTCCTGACCTAAGTCCAAAGGACTCATGATGGAAAATGCTATAGACATCCAGAGAAAGAACAGGTGTAGTCTGAATGCAGACTGAAGCATACTATATTCACTTTCTTTTTTGTGTGTGATTTTTTCTCCCTTTTGGCCTGTTTCTTCTTTAACAACATGACTAAAATGGAAATATGTTTTATGTGATTGCACATATATAACCTATATCAAGTTGCTTACCTTTTTAGGGAGGGAGGAGGGAAAAAATTTGAAACTCAAAAATTTTTCTTAAATCATTGTTAAAAACTACGTAATTGGAAAAAAAAATAATATTTAAAATTAAAAAATAAACTATCAATAAAATCTATTTTTAAAAGTTTTCATGTTTCATTGTACAGAAATAAGAGTAACTATGATGGGGAAAGGAGGATTCCTTCATTTATTAAAAATATAATATTTCATTACCTGGGGTTGAAGACTGAGTTAATTCATGAAAAAAGACATTGCCAGTTTATAAGAAGTAAGTTATCTAAAAATATCCCTAAAATTCTAAAACACGGGACAGCAAGAATCAGGATAGTGAGTTAAAAGGTAGACTGACAGATGAACTACAAGAGATTGGACAGATGTGGAAATATCTTGATATTTGAGAAGGGTGATCAATTTTTCCAAACCTCCTACATGAAGAACATGTATTTGGCCAATGCCTTCTTGAACAATTCTCAATCATGTGGATAATAATTGTCTTTTCATTTCATCATTTTGATTCCTCCTTTAACACATCTGATTTGTGCTTTTTTGAAATGCATATTTCTCCTTAAGCTTCCTTTTATTTCTTAATTATTTAACTTCTGAGCAATTAAGGCATTTATTAGTCTTTTCCACTTTTGAGATTCCCAAGAATTTGCAAATCTTTCCTTTTCATTAGGGCCTCCTGAGTCACAACTCTTCACTGCATGGTATCTATTCACATTATTGGCTCTTACGAGAGGAAGGCCTTACTTTTATGGACTGATAATTCTTGTCCAATTGATTCTCTATCTCACAAAAGAAGCTGTTGCAAACCTCTTCCTTCTCAAACCTCCCACATGCATCATTCACCACCATGAGGTGAGGACACGAACTTCATGCTCCATTTAAAGAGAAAGCTTAGCTCACATACCTCAATTCTCATTTGATGCCACTACCTTTGAACTTCTCTGAAAGACAGCTGCACATTCCCCAGGAAGCTTACTGTTGGGACATCTTATCACCTTTAGCACTCCCCCTCATCACTACCTCCAGCCTCTCTGATTAGAGGGTGGGGCATGAACTCCAAACCTACTTTAAGGAGAAGGTTGAGCTCAGATATTTCACTTATCACCTCGCTGCTCTACTTGGGGACTTCCGACTAGCTTCTCACTATGGGCCTGTGTTCTCCTGTATCCCTCTGTGGGCTTCTTTTTGTGTGTTGTCTTCCTCCTCCAAATTCTAAGTTTCATGAGGTCAGGGACTGTATTTTTTAGTAGTTGAATCCTCAGCTCTCGGCATATTGTAAACAATAAATATTTATTGACTATTGACCAATCTCATCTGAACATCTTGTCTCTTATTTTACTTTAAAAACTGAGGCCATTCAACATGAGTTACCTCTGATCGTAACTTTTTTTCAGACAGCTCAGACTGGATATCTTAAATTCAAAGTGCCCATAACGGATCACATTATCTTACCCCCTATCCTCCTACCTTCTCTGTTATTAAAGGCAACAACAATCTTCAAGTCCCTGGAGTTCAAAACTGAAGTCTCACCCTCCACGCCTATCTCTTATCCCCCTTATCCAGTCTCTTGCCAAAACCTCTTCATTGTACTTTTGCAACATTTCCCAAAAAACACCTCCCTCCTCACTTCCACCTGCTGGCTCCCTTGAAGTCTCAGCTCAAACCTCACCTTCTAAAAAAAAACCCTTTCCTGGTCCCTGAAACTGCTGGATCCTTCCCCTCCCCCCTACAGTGTCTCTAGCTTTTATGGACACAGATGCCTAAATGTCATCTCCCACGTTAGACTGTGAGCTCCTTGAAGGCAGGGTGATTTGCTTTGTATCCACAGGAGGTTTGAACAGGGCCTGGCACAGAGGAGCCACTTTCTAAATGCTTTCTGATTTGAGCTAAGAAATGGTAAATGGGAGGGATTGAGAGACCTGGGAAGACTTGTGTGAACTGAGGCAGAGTAAATGGATCATGTTTGCTGTGACTGCAAGACTGCAAAGGAAAACAGCTGGGGAAGATGTCGGGGCTCTGCTCGGTCCGATGGGGGGGGAGGGAGGCTTTTCCTTGACCTTCAGTTGGAAACGAGAGCACAGAAAGGATCTCTGTGGAGACTATTGCATGAAGTCAGGTGTGAGGAGGGAGAGCCAGGAGGGCAGCAAGTTGGGAAGTTACTGTTGGAGGTGAAAGAGCTAACGAAGCAGTCCAAAGCCGGGGAAGGGCAGGGCAGTGCGTTACTGCTGCCTTCTATTTCAGAAGTATTTTTTTTAAATGAAACAATAATTAGGTAAGAGGGACCAGCAGCTTCGTAGACAATCGTCTATATCTATGGAAATGCCCACCCTTGATGACGGAGTCGAGCCCAGGGCTGCCCCGAACTCACCTGCCATGGGGGTCTCGGGGGTCCGGGGGGCCATTCCCTCGGCCTCCCTGCCTGGCCCAGCTCTCGGTCCACTTCAGGGAGGGAGAAGGATACGGGGGGACACGTCTCTGCCTTCACGCCCAGGCGGGGGGCTGGCCTACAAGGATTTACAGAGGGTGAGACCCCCGAGGAGTCCCAAAGCCCTGGCACTGCCCTCGGAGGTGGGCACGGGGACCACCCTCCACCCTCTTCTTCCGTCTCTCCTGCCCCGCTCCCCTTCCCCATCGCCCCGCAGACACCCCCGAGGCAGGAAGAGGCTTCCCATCGGCCATGGAGGAAACAGGCTCCGGGGCTCTGGGTCCGAGCGAAGCCTGGAGGTCAGGCTGGGGGACCCCTGGTCCAGGGCGGGGGGGGGGTTGGCGTCCCAGGACCCTGGGGGGATGATGGGAAGCCGGGCCCCGAAGGGAAGGCCCTCCCGGCGTCCCCGCAAGACACTCACCCAGGGCTCCGAGGGAACGAGGCCGCCGGCGGAGGCGGGACCGCGCGGGGAGGGGCTCGGACCCCTGGGGGAAGGGGGGGGCGGGTCCTAGTGCCCAGGCTCAGGGTTAGCCTGCTCTGGGGGCTCCTCCCACCCCCTCCCCGCCCCGGACGGAAGTCCCGCCCCCCAACTCCCCCTCCCCTATCAGGACGCTCTCCCGGGAGAGCGGAGGGAAGTGAGCCCCCTGATTGGCGGGAACTATCACATCCTCTGATAGGCTGGAGGGTAACGTGTTCCCTGATTGATGGGAAGGTACCGCGCCTCCTGTTTGGCAATCAGGACTTCTCAATGAGCATCTGTTCTGCCCTTCTGGGCCAAGTGCTAGGACAGAGTTAAGCCGTTCTGGCCCAGACAGCCTTTGACCCCTCTTGTAACCATCTTGTGTCCAATCAGGGGCATCCACCTTCCCCCCTAGCTTGTGATAAATGGGGGCATCAGGGGAAGGGGGCGGGGGGTTGGAGGAGGCTTCTCGAGAATTCTGGGAAACGTCTGTCTGGGAGCATGCGCTCTTGCTCGGCCTGGGGGGAGGGGTGCGCCGACGTCCTCCGAGCTGGAAGAGGCCCCTGAGCCCAGAGTCCGTGCGTGTTCGTGCGGTGCCGCCCACACCCCGCGTGATCAGGTCCGGGGGAGCATCCCCTGTAACCGTAGGAGGGTAGATGGGGAGCGACGGGAAGGGGGGGACAGGTGTGACCGCCCCGAGGAGCGTGGGCTCCTGGGTAGCTGTAAGTGAAATCTGGGAAGGGGGTGGGAGCAGGAGGGGCTGCTGCAGCCTTGGGGGAGGGGCAGGTTCTTTGGCCCCCCAAAGGGAAGGGCGTGACCACTGTCAAAGAGGTCTGGGGGAGCTTTAAAATTTTTTTCCATTAAATATTCACAATTACAGATAAAAATTTTTTAACATTTAAGAAAAATTTTGAGTTCCAAATTCTCTCCCTCCTGCCCCTTTCTTCTTGAGAAAGCAAGCAATTTGATATGGGTTATAAAAGTGAAATCATGCAAAACATGTGTCCATATTAGCCATATTGTAAAAGAGAACACTAAATAAAACAATAACAAAGAAAGTTGCTTTTTTTTTTTTAAGAAAAAGTATGCTTCAAGCTCCATTCTAGTTCCTAAGTTCTCTCTGGAGGGGGGATAACATTTTTCATCATGAGTCCTTAGGAATTGCCCTGGATCACTGCCTTGATCAGAGCAGCTCAGTCTTTCATAATTGATCATCCTTACAGTATTGCTCTTACCGTGTACTGTGTTCTCCTGGCTCTGGTCACTTCAGTTTGCGTGAGTTCACATAAGCCTTCCGCAAACCGTCCTGCTTGTCATTTCTTACAGCACAGTAGTATTCCGTCACAATCACGTACCACAACTTGTTCAGCCATTGCCAATTAATGGTCCCTCCCCTCAATTTCCAGTTCTTTTCCACAACAAAAAGAGCTGCTGTAAATATTTATGAACAAAAATGTTTGAACGAAATCTGCCACTTCTGCCCCCACCCACTTTTTTCAGTTTCTTTGGGTTAAAGACATAATAGTAGTATTGCTGAGTCAAAGGATATACTCAGTTTTACAGGTTTTGGGGCATAGTTTCAGATGATTCTCCAGAAAGGTTGGATTAGTTCACAGCTTCACCAACTGTCCTTTAGAGTTCCAAATTTTTCAACATCCCCTCTAGCATTTATCATTTTCCTCTTCTGTCATGTTAGCCAGTCTTATAGGTGTGAAGTGTTATCTCAGTTATGTTAATTTGCTTTTCTCTAATTAGTGATTTAGGGCAGTTTTTCTGTGACTATTGATAGCTTTGATTTGTTCTTCTGAAAAATACCTGTTCACATCCTTTGCTCATTTATCAATTGAAGGCTGTTATTTTTATAAATTTGGATCAGTTGTATATATAATTGAGAAACAAGGCCTTTATCAGAAAAAACTTATTGCAGATTTTTTCCGCAGTTTCCTGTTTTCCTTCCAGTTTTGGCTACATTGGTTTTGTTTCTTCGAAAGCCTTTTAATTTCATGTAATCAAAATCCATTTTACTTCCTCTAATTCTCTGTCTCTAGTTTGATCATAAATTTTTCTCTCATCCATAGATCTGAGAGGTACATTTTTTCATGTTCCCCTAATTTACTTATGGTATCACCATTTATGTGTACATCATTTATTCATTTTGACTCGATCTTGGTATATGGTGTGAGATGTTGGTCTGGGCCTAGTTTCTGCCAAACTGCTTATAGTTTTCCCAGCAATTTTTGTCGAATGTTGAGTTTTTACATGAAAAGCTTGGATTTTAGTTTATCAAACACTAAAAGACCATAGTTATTTACTACTGTGTGTTGTTTACTTAATCCATTCCACTTACCCACTCTTTTATTTCTTAGCCAGTACTAGATTGTTCTGATAATTACTGCTTTGTAATATAGTTTGAAATCTGGAAATCCTAGGCTGCCATCCTTCACATTGCCCCCCCCCCTTATTCTCTTGATATTCTTGACCTTTTGTTTTTCCAGATGAATTTTGTTACTATTTTTTCTAACTCCATAAAATAAATTTTTTTTGTAATTTGATTGGTATGGCACTGAATAAGTAAATTCACTTAGGTAGAAATGTCATCATTATTATATTAGCTTGGCCTACCACCATGAGCAATTAATATTTCTCCAGTGGTTTAGATCTGTCTTCATTTGTGTGAAAAGTGTTTTATAGTTGTGTTCATATGATTTCTGGGTTTGTCTTGGCAGATAGACTCCCAAGTATTTTATATTGTCTACAGTTATTTTAAGTGGAATTTCTCTTTCTATCTCTTGCTGCTGGATTTTGTTGGTAATATATAGAAATGCCAGTGATCTATATAGGTTTATTTTATATCTTGCAACTTTGCTGAAGTTGTTCATTGTTTCAAGTAGTTTTTTAGTTGATTCTCTAGGGTTCTTTAAGTATGCTATCATATCTGCAAAGAGTGGTAGTTTTGATTCCTCATTGCCCATTTTTCTTCCTTCAATTTCTTTTTCTTGTCTTATTGCTATAGCTAGCATCTCTAATACAACATTGAATAATACTGGTGATAATGGACACCATTGCTTCAGTCCTTATTGGGAAGTCTTCAAGTTTATCCCCATTACAATTAATGCTCTAGGTTTTAGACAAGTATTTTAAGAAAGGTTCCATTGATTCCTGTGCTTTCTAGTGTTTTCAGTAGGAATGGATGGTGTATGTTGTCAAAGCCTTTTTTTTTTTAACGTTTATTGATATAATTATATGATTCCTAAACATTAAAGCAGCCCTGCGTTCCTGTTAAAAATCCCACCTGGCCATTGTGTTGCAAGTGAAATTTAACAAAGGGTGGAGTAAAGCAATTCTGTGAGCAAGATACCCTTTATTAGCAGGGGAATGCAGCCTGGTAACAAAGGGCTCTTATTACCAGGCTCCTGTTGTGCCACAGACTCAGAGCAAGGGCCCACAGCACCTTGTAAACCTGAGTGTGTCTTCCTTCTGATTGGCTTGACAGCTTATGATTTGGATGTCTTCCCCCAGCAAAGATAAGGCAACCTTGATTGGTGAACATTTTAATGAGGAAGTGGGTTAATTTTTCTCAACTCCTCCCTGTTATTACTTCATTGTTAGGGGGCAGGACTAATCCAGAAGATCAGTCTGTAGCTAGGGAAAGTGATCTGGTGTTCCGATGTGGTTGATAATGAATGTCCCTAAAACTTTAGGAATGCTAGTTGCCCCGTGGACTCAACTGACTCTCCTAATCTTGGCTAGAAAAACATAAGTCATCTCAATCAGGTTTTCACTGCTTGGTCTCCCTAAACATTGATTAGAAGACGTAAGAATTATCCGTTGGAGGCGGGGCTTAGCCCAAGTTGGCTTTTGTGTATGGGGTTAACAGATGAAAGAGCCCCTGCCCAGGTAGTAATTACCTTATTCAGTTATGCCCTTCAGAAACTGCCTGACCTTCAGAAGCTGAGTCTGAGGAAATGGATGGATTCACAGATAGTTAGTAAATAATATAATCCCATATTAATTTTCCTCAGTAGTATAGGATTTTTGTGATGTATTGCTACAATCTCCTTACTAGTATTTTATTTAAAATTTTTGCACTGATAGTTATTAAAGAAATTGGTCTATAGTTTTCTTTCTCCATTTTTGCTCTCCCTGGTTTAGGTATCAAAACTTTATTTGTGTCATGAAAGGAATTTGGTAGAATTCTTCGTTACCTAGTTTTTCAAATAGTTTGTATAGATATTGATGTTAATTATTCCTTAAATATTTGATAGAATTCACTTGTGAATCTATCTGGTCCTGGGGATTTTTTGGGGGGGAGAGCTCACTGATGGCTTGTTCCATTTCCTTTTCTAAGATAAGGTTCTTTAAATATTCTAAATATTATGTTAATCTCAAGTAGTTTATATTTTTGTGCGTCTTCATCCATTTCACTTAGATTGTCAGTTTTACTGATATATAATTGGGCAAAATAATTCCTAATAAATGCTTTAATTCCATCTTCATTTGTAGTGTATTTGCCTTTTTCATTTTTCGTTCTAGTAATTTGGATGGTTTTTTTTTAATTTAAAATTTTCATTTATTAGCAGGTTCTGTGCAATAGGGTCTTAGGACAGGAAATGCTTTACAATTCTGAAGCATGCTCCTTATAGCATGAATGAACAGCAACAGTTGATCCATGTCTCAGTGCAGATGACCTGCCTGCTAAGAGTCTTGTGTGTTACTTGAAATAAGCTCATAATTTTGTTGCATGATTTGGAAATTAGTTATAGAGGCACCAGAGGAACTAATACAGTTCAGCTACCCACAGTCTAAGTGTATTGCTCCCCCCCCCCCCCCCCCCCCCCCGCCAACAACAAAGATTTTCTTCTTTTTTTTTTTTATCAAATTAACCCATGGTTTATCTATTTTATTGGTTTTTTTCATGGTTTTATTTATTAGTTCAATGGATTTTTTTCACTTTCAGTTTTATTACTCCTTTGATTTTTCAGAATTTCCATTTTGGTGTTTAATTGGGGATTTTTAATTTGTTCTTTTTCTATTTATTTTTTTTAGTTGCATACTGAATTCTTTGATCTGTTCTTTCTCTTTTATTGATGTAGGCATGTAGGGATATAAATTTTTCCCTAAGTATTGCTTTGGCCACATCCAAGTTTTGGGATATTGTCTTATTGCTATTACTCTCTTTAATGAAATTATTGATTATTTCTGTCATTTGTTCTTTGGCCCGCTTGTTTTTTATGATTAGATTATTCAGTTTCCAGTAACCTTTTAACCATATTTCTCTGCCCAAGTAGGGGCCTTTGTTAACTTTAATTTTTATTGCATTATTGTCTGAAAAGGGTGCGTTTAATATTTCTACTTTTTTGCCTTTGATTGTGGAGTTTCTATGCCATAACACATGGTTATTTTTTTGTGAAGGTGCTATATACAGCTGTGAAAAAGATAAACTCTTTGTTATTCCCATTCACTTTTCTTCAGAGGTCTGTCATATCTAACTTTTCTAAGATTCTGTTCATTTCCTTGACTTCTTATCTATTTTATGCTAAGATTTATCTAGCTCTGAGAAGAGAAAGCTGAGGTCCCCCATTAGTATAGTTTTACCATCTGTTTCCTCCTATAATTCTAATTTATAAAAAATTCTGATTTTGTGTCATGATCTTCCCTTTCATCATGGTAGCTTTTGTGGCGAGGTTCTTTTTTTGTTTGTTGCTCATTTTTCCATCCTGTTTCTTGATTTGGAACTTTATGTTAATGTCATGCTCTATTCCTGGTGTGGAGTTGGGAGTGGAGAGGCATTGTCTCAAGCTTCAGGCTTTTTTGCAGCTTGTTTTCAGAGGTAATTCTGGGGGATTCTAATTTTTTGTGTTTCCAAGGTGGTATGGTCTGAAAAGAGGTGTACTTACTGCTTTCTTTGTCCATACTCTGGTCCTTACCTAGTAAGAACAGTACTATTCCTTCCTGATCCTTTGGGGGCTAGAAGTGGTACTGTCTGTCAGGCCTCCCACTCCCTCTTGACTGTAAGTGCTCCTCTTCACCCTTGAACTGTGATTCAGAAGTGAGTATAGGCAGTGGAGCTGCCAAAAAAGAAATCTGATTCTGCATCCATTGCTAGCGCTGGGGTCCCCTTTAATCTCTTTTTGAGTAGTTACCAGATCCCCTTACCATCTCTGGCTTGAGAATTCCCAAAGCTGCTGCTGTTTCTTTCACCACCACCTAGTCCCACCATTTATGTTTCATCCATGCAGGGTCTGGACCAGCAGGAGGAGGAATCTTGTCTCCATATTCTTCCCAGTGCTTCTCTGGGAATACTAGGAATAAAATACTAGAAAGGAGACTACAGCAATGTATCACAAAGATTATGCACTATAACCAGGTTGGATTTGTACCAGGAATGCAAGGCTTCTTCAATATTAGGAAAACTATAGGCATCAATAACAAAAACAACAAAAATCTTATGGTTACATTAATAGACACAGTAAAAGCTCTTGACAAAATTAAACACTGGAAAGTATAGGAATAAATGGAGCTTTCCTTAAAACATTTAGTAGTATCTCCTTAAAACCAAAAGCAAGTATTATCTTTAGTGGGAATAAATGAGAAACTTTTCCAGTGAGATGAGGGGTAAAGCAAGGGTGTCCATTATCACTGTTATTATTCAGTACTCTACTTGAAATGCTAGCTATAGCAGTAAGGGGGAAAAAAGAAACTGAAGCAATAAAATAGGCAACAGGGAACAAAACTATTACTTTTTTCAAATATGATGTTTTACTTGAGACAACCGTAGAGATACAACTAAAAAGTCAGTTGAAGCAATTAACAACTTCAGCAAAGTTCCAGTTTACAAAATAAAACCACATAAATTATTACCATTTCTGTATTTCACCCACAAAACCCAGCAGCAAGAGAAAGAGAAATTCCATTTAAAATGACTGCAGGGAGTATGAAACCCTTAAGAGTTTACCTGCCAAGACATACAAAAGAACTATATGAACACAATTACAAAATGTTTTTCTCACAAAGGCATCTAAGCAATTGGAGAAAATATTAGTTGCTCATGGATAGGCTGAGCCAGTGTAATAAAAATGGCAATATTTTCTTAATTTATTCAGAACCATACTAATCAAACAACCAAAGACTTATTTTATAGAGCTAGAAAAAAATAGCAAAATTCATCTGGAGGAACACAAAGTCAAGAATATCACTGGATAGCAGCCTCATAGCACCAGATCTTTTTTTAAATAGGTGGGAGGCAGTCTTTTTATTTTTTTTATACTTGTATTTCATTTTTTTTCTTTAATCGTATTTTATCTTTTCCAGTTACATGTAAAGATAGTTTTCAACATTCACTTTCATAAGATTTTGAGTCCTAAGTTTTTTTCTCCTTCCCTCCCTTTTCCTCTCCCCAAGACGTCATGCAATCTGATAAAGGCTATACGTGTACAATCATATTAAATTTATTTCCACATTAGTCATGTTGTGACAGTACCAGGTCTTAAAACTGTATTACAAAGTGGTCTTCTTCAAAGCAGTCTGATTATGGATAGGAAATAGAGTGAATGATCAGTGGAATAGATTGTTAAAATATGAAAAAATAAATGATCACAGTAACCTCATGTTGATAAACCCCCAAATCAAAACTGTTGGGTCAAGAACTCACTATTTGACAAAAAATTCTGGAAACACTAGAAAAGAGTCTGGCAGAAACTAGGCACAAACCAACATCTGCCAGCATATACCAAGGTAAGCTTAAAATGCGTCCACTATTTAGAAGTAAAAGATGATAGCATAAACAAATTAGGGGAGCTTGAGAAAAAAAATAACCTAAAAGATCTGTCGATAGAGGAAGCATCTGTGACCAAACAAGATAAGAGGATCATGGGAGGTAAAATGGATAATTTTGATTACATTAAATTAAAATATTTTTGTAAAACAATATTAATAGAGCCAAAATGAGAAGAAAATAAGGAAACTGGGGGAAAATTTTTTTTGTGGAACGTTTCTCTGATAAGGGCCTCTTTTCTCAAATATGTAAGGAGCTAGGACAAATACGTAGAAGTAAGAGCCATACCCCAGCTGATGAGTGGTCCAAGGATATAAACAGAAGAAACTGAAACTATTAATAGTTACGAAAAATGCTCTAAGTCACTTGTGATCAGAGAAATTCGAACTGTGATGTAGCACCTGAAATTCATCAGATTGGTTACATGACAGAAAAAGGAAAATGACAGTTGCTGGAGGGGATGTGGAACAATAGATACCCTGATACATCCTTGGTGGAGCTGTGAATTGGTCCAAATTGCTGGATTGGGAAAGGAAACTTTTTAAAATGAAGGCAAGTTTGCTGAATTTGGAGCAGGTATTCCAAAGAGCTAGTGGCAGGGTTTGGTAGCTTTAAAATGGGGCTTTAGTGGGTCTGGTGGGAGGAGAGTAGAAATGAGGGATTGGGCAGTTGGATACTGGGAATGAGGTTGGAACCATGATGATGAAGGTAGGGGTAGAATGCATCGTTGAGTAATGAGTTTAGGTGGACTTTCAGGATAGAGGCCTCTTAGGACCTTCAGCAGTTTAGGGAAGGTGATGGATGCTTGGTCCTGAAATGAATGTTGTTACTCCCTTTCTCCCAAAGAAGGAAATGTGGTAGGGGCTATTTGATCTTGTACATTTTCCTTCTCAGTTCTGCCTTCTGAGGACTCTGCACTCACCCAAAAGGGGAACACTGAGGAAGGACTTGGTTCTGTATTCTTAATAAGGAGAGCACGGGTGAGTTGGACTTTTTATATCCTTTAAATGCTAGATCAGTTCTTTTTTTTAATCTATTTTTTTTTTTGCCTTTTTGGTGAGGTGATTGGGGTTAAGTGACTTGCCCAGGGTCACACAGCTACTAAGTGTCAAGTGTCTGAGGCCTGATTTGAACTTAGGTCCTCCTGACTCCAAGGCCAGAGCTGAATCCACTGTGCCACCTAGCTGCCCTAGATCAGTCCTTAGAGCTCGTAGATCATGTTTTCTTGTGGAACTTCTTGCCCCAGTGTAACCTCTTTTAGAAATGTGAGCTTTAGTCGCTGTTGATTGGTTCTTGTCCTTTGGGCTTGAAGAGGACCAAAATAACATCACTATGTGGGGTCAAGGTACAGTGTGTCCAGCTCTGGCTGATCACAGCAGCATGAGCTCGGAAGGCTCTACTGTGGGTCGGAACAATTCATAAACATGTTTCCAGATGTGTGCATCTCGCGTTTCTTTTGAGCTGCTGCAATTCTGCTTTGCTAATCAAGTACAGCACCTTCTTTGGTGTGGGCGCTCCATGCTGGGTGGGCTATGCCAGTGTTTCCCTCGTCATGAAATCCAAAATTCTTCAGAGGGACTTTGACAGTGTCCTTGTATCACTTCTTCTGACCTCCCTATGAGCGCTCGCCTTGTGTAAGTTCTCTGTAAAAGCTTTCTACGCAGACATACATTAGGCATTTGAACAGTGTGGCCAGCCCATTGGAGTTGTACTGTCCTCAGTAGAATTTGAACGTTTGGCAGTTCAGCTTGAGAAAGGTACCTTAATCTGCCAGGTGATCTTCAGATTTTCCCTAAGACAATTCAAATGGAAGCCATTCAGTTTCCTGGCTTGGCTCTGGTATACTCTCTAGGTTTCACAAGCATATAACAATGAGGTCTTCAGTTTGGTAGGCAGCCTAATACCTCTTCTCTTTGGAGTCTCCCAAACACTGAGCTAGTTCTGGCAATATGTGCATCAACATCATCTTCTCTATGTACATTCCTGGAAAGGACACTGTTGACGTAAGCGAACTCATCCACAGCATTCACTGTTTTTCCATTTGCTGTAACAGTGGTTCCACGTATGGATATTGCAGTGCTGCTGGTTGAGAACCTCTGTTTTCTTGGTGTCAGTTGTCAGGCCAAAATTAGCACCAGTGGCAGAAAATCAGTCCGTGTTCTGTTGCATCTCAGCCTCAGAGGATGCAGTGCAGCCTTCTTCAGTCACATACCAACTGTCTCTGCACTTTAGTCTTGGCTTGTAGTCTTTTCGAGTTTAAATAATTTACAGTTGGTGTGGTAGCTGACCTTGATGCCAGTTTCACCCTTGTTGAAGGCTTCCAAAAATATCGCAGAAATATCATGCTGAAAAGCATGGGAGCAAGCACACAGCCCTGATTCAGTCCACTGGTGACTGGGAAAGCTCAAAAGCATTGTTTGTTATCCAAAACCCATGCAAGCATGCCATCATGAAGCTTTCATATAACACTAATGAATTTCTCCAGGTAACCAAATTTTACCGTGGTCTTCTGCAAGCCCTCGTGACTGACAGTATCAGAGGCCTTGGGCAGATCAATGAATGCTGTGTGTACAGCTCTGTTCTGCTCCTGGCATTTTTCCTGCGATTGTAGGGCAGCAAACACCGTATTGATAGTTCCTCAGCCCCTTTCCGAAGCCACCCTGGCTCTCAGGTAGGTGATCATCTTCCAGGTGAAGGATCAGCCTATTAAGGAGGACTCTGGCAAGATCTTGTCAGCAGCGACTAAGAGAGAGATCCCTCTGTGATTGTCACTTATTACCTTTTTCTTACAGAGGTGGACAGCAGAAGCGTCCTTGAGCTCCTGGGGGATAACCTCCTCTTGCCATATACCCTGGAACATTTCAGTCAGCTTTTGTATGAGCAGTGAACCCTTTTCGTTGTAAATCTCTGGTAGAATAGAACCAGGTGCTTTGCCAGCTGAGAGGAGCCCAAAGCATTCAGAACGTCCTTGTCAGCTGGAAGTTTGGCCAGAGAGGGATTGCCTTCAGTCTGAGGCGTTTGGTCAGGGGCTTCAGCACTGGTTGATGTTGGTCTGTTGAGAACACTGTGGAAGTGTTCAGCCCCTCTCCAGGATCATGTCCTGATTACTGATCCATGTGTCCCCATCAGCACTGAACAGTGGACGTGCACCGTTTGTCTTTGGGGCATCATAAAAGCATTGTGGATTGTTACTATCAGTGTAAAATTGAATTTCGTCTGCCTTATTGAGTCACGAATCTTGCATCTCTCTAAGCTTCACTTACACTTTACTTTTTTTTTTTTTTTTGGTGAGGCAGTAGGGTGAAGCGACTTGCCCAGAGTCACACAGCTAGTAAAGTGTCAAGTGTCTGAGGCCAGATTTGAACTCGGGTCTTCCTGAATCCAGGGCGGTGCTCTATTCACTGCGCCATCTAGCTGCCCCCTACACTTAACTTTTGATAGAATTATACACTGCTGGTAAACTCTGTGGAATTATCATTTTTTGTCTAGCAGCTTCAGAATTTCCCCATCATTTTCATCAAGCCAGTCTTGGTGTTTGTGAGTGTTCTGGGCCACATAAGTAAATGCGGTGCTGTGCACCAAATTTCTCACAGCTGCCTCTCCTTTTCTGCTCCACTGCTGCCATCGCTTATGGAGAAGTGCTCTCAGCTTTTGACATTGAGTCTTCTAGTCCTTGTCTTGCCTCGAAGCTCTTGCTTTTGTTGAATTTGAATGTTTGGCTTGGAGAGGCTAAGTCTGTGATCCATCCAGCACCCTGTACCACACATGGCCTTCCTCACTCTCACATCCTGTCTGTCTGTTCTCCTTTCAGTGATATAGTCTGTTGAATGTCAGTCTTTGCTGTGAGGGTGCATCTGAGGAGTTTTATTGAGTTGAGGTAAATGGAAGCTAGTGTTGGTGATGAGAAGGTCATGAGGTGCACAAGTTTTCATTAGTGAGTGACCATTGCTTTTGCTGTTTCTGACTCCATTTCTCCCAAGAACTTCCTGCCATGTGTGATAGTCTGTGCCTACTAGAGCATTAAAGTTACCCAGAATTAAAATCTCGTTCCCTTTTGGCACATTAATGATGCAAGTCTCCAGATCTTCATACAGTTTTTATTTGACTTTATCAAGGTTTGTCATGTTGGGGGCATATGCCCTGATGGCGGTGGTGTGGTGCTTTCTTGTAAGTGGCAGTTATCTGCTAGACTGCCCTGAACGCCCATATGCCCCTCTAGCTGCCTGTCACTCATGTGATTGTACCCACCTTCCTGGTAGATGCACTCTTGGTCTCCAGAGGATAAAAAAGTATCTCCTACCCTGCAGAATCCTGTGATGATGGAAGCCATCATCAGTCTGTTCTCTCTCAAACACTTTAGAAAGAAGATGGAATACAACCTGGGCAGATGATAATCTGTCAGCCAAGCCCTGGAAGCCTGAACTTCCATTTGGCTCTTTCCAGTCCAGTTGGGCAATGATATACACACAGGAAGTACCCAACATACGGTGTGTTTACTTTGCTTGATGTCTGAACTCCTTTTCCTTGACAAGGTCCTGACTGGGAAGGTCCTGGTTTTATTGAGATGATAGTCATGTGAAGGCCTTGTAATAAATAAGTGAAGCTGTTTCCTATGTATATGTGATGAGTTGGCAGGGGGAGAGAGTGGAGGCGGGGACCCTGTTTTCATAATCTAGATTTGAGGTACCTGGATTGGCCCAGGGGTGGGGAACCATGTGGCCTCCTGGGTCCTTTGGTGGGGCCTTTTGACTGAGTCCAAGTTTTGCAGAACAAATCTTCTTATTAAGGGGATTTAATCTGCGAGACTAAGGTTCCTCACCACGGCACACCATTCCCTGCTCGTACGCCAGTCTGTTTGCCAATCCTCCACTCTCCTACTCATCCACTTTTCCTAGTGACTCTTTCCCGTATCCCTCTTTACTGGATGAGCTCTCCTCATTTTTGCATTTCATCCTGCCTGTCATCTTCTCAGACCACAAAGCTTTATTGTAATACTTCATTATGGCTTCACTTTTTAAAGCCATAATGTCCTCAAAGACTGTGTCCCACACTATTCCAGATTCAATTTAGCAGTTTTTATTAGGTACTTACTATGTTCAAAGGTCATCATCAAAGTCACATTCTCTAACTGTGAGTGTCTCACAGGGTTCTTCTGTCCTTGGCTCTCTTCTCTTCTTCTCCCTCTGCATGATTTCATGTAGTTATCCCTCAGCTCCCATGGACTTACTAGCTCTATGCTGATAATTTTCTAATGTACCTATCCTGCCTTAACCTCTCTGCTGACCTCCAATCTGATATCTCCAGTGCCTTTCAGGCATCTTTAATTGGGTATCCAGTAGACATCTTAAAATCAACAAATGGCCATAGGGGTGAAAGAACAAGGGGGGAGAAGGCCAGTGGGAATAAGATCACTTTAAAAAAAGGTTACAGTAAAATAACTCCGTATGACTTCAAAAAGTAAAACCATTCAGGAACAGCTAAAAAGAGTAATTATCTTACACAGATGAGGTATGAGAGGAAGAATCTGATGCAGAGGAGTTAGATGGGGGAGGGGAGCTGATAGTTCTGGAACCCTACTTTCATCTGAAGTGGGTTCAAGAAGGAACAATACACATATCTAGAGTATAAAAGTCTTCTAAATTCAGAAAGAAATAAAATGCTAAGGGAATAGGGGGTGGGGAGAGGATAAGGCAAGGATCTTCAGAGAAGAGGGTGAGGGAATAGGTTAAAGGGGGATATAAAAGGATGTTTAGATTTGTGGGAATGGGAGAATAAGGGAGGGAACTTTGGAGGGGGGATAGGTTAAGTAATAGGAGGGTAAAGTAGTAGGCAGAAGTAAAATAGAAGAGTCAGGAGGGATAGGAGATGAGTACAAACATAAAAAAGATTAGGAGTAGAATCTGTTAGGGAAAGTATATGTTTATATATGTATATATGTATGTATGTATGTGTATATATGTATATGTGTTTATCTATATCTATATATAAATAGATCCAGGCTTAATTGTAGCCTTCTTGGAGGTGGGAAGGAAGGGGGGAAAAGAACAAAGTAAAAAGTGTTCGGGAGAGAACAAAAGAAAACTTACAAAGAAGCAAAGAAAAGATGGATGGCCCTCAACACAACACATAGTATTTATTATATGGGCTTTCTTGAAATGGGAATTTATTGCTATCTGTTTTGAATCCTCTCTTACATTCTACTGTGTGCATGTGTTTTTTTCTTTTCTTATTTTATATTTAAGTTCTAATATTTAAGTTTGTAATATGTTTCTTTTTCTTTTCTTATTATGTATTTTAGTTTCAGTATTTGTCTAAAATAAAAAAAGATAATAAATAACTGAAGTAACCTTAATACTGTGTTTACAAATACTATGTTTATAACAGAAGAGGGAAAACAATCATAACTGGAAAAAATTTTAGAGACAGATGGGAGAAAATATAAACCCAACTCATATCTTTAAATGTGAATAGAAAGAGGGAAATAGCTAAGCAAATTGTGGTACATGAATATAGTAGAATACTACTGTGCTGTAAGAAATGATGTATGTGACAAATATAGAAGCATGGAAGAATCTCTATGAACTGATGGAGAATGAAGTAAGCAGAAGCCAAAAAGACAACATATACAAGAACTACAACAGTGTTAATGGAAAAAAACAATGACACACCAAGAAATAAAAAATAAATGTAATAAAAGAATAAATATATGCCATTGTAATGAAGAGCAATGAGAAGGCACCCCCAACCCACCTCTTCTTGGAGAGGGAAGGTCAACAAATATTACATGTTTCATATTTTTGGACTTTATTTTTATGTGTTGATTAGGTGTTCTCACTTTTTTTTTCTCTTTAAAAAAATGCTCTGTGATGTGAGATGGCTCTCAGGGAGAGGAAAAGGGAAGAATATTTAGGGATACTATGGTGATGTAAGAAACAAAATATCAATAAAGAATAATTTAAAATAAAAAAATGTGATTGGATTACTCAATCCAGTAAAATGAAAAAGAGTGACAAATTGGATAAGAAAACAAAACCCTGCAATCTGCTGCTTAAACGAAACCACATGTGCAAAAAAAATATTCACAAAATAAAACTGAGAAGATACCAGGATCATGCTTCCCTCACAGGCCTGGCTCTTGGGCAGGCTTCCAGCCCCTGCTTCTCGTTCATCACATCCCAAATATCCTGGGGCGCCATCCCCTGCTTTGCCAGTGGGCCACATAGCCCAACCTTCAGACCTCACCCAGAGTCTTGTGGGAATGAGAGTTCAGATTCAGGAGCCATTGAGACTCTAACTGGTTTCCTCCGTCTGGGATGTGAAACCCCTCTCTGGGTATCTATGGAAGGATGGGTGAGGGAATTGGGACAGAAGAGAAGGAATAAGAGGGTGGAGAGTGGTCACCGTGCCCCCCTTGCTGCTCCCTCTTCTGCTTGGACTTTCTCTCCTGAGGGCAGTGCCAGGGGTTTTGGGACTCCTCAGGGGTCTCACCCTCTGTAAATCCTTGTAGGCCAGCACCCTACCTGGGAGTGAAGGCAGAGACGTCTCCCCCCAGATCCTTCTCCCTCCACTGAAGAGGACCAAGAGCTGGCCCAGGCAGGGAGCCCAAGGGAATGGCCCCTGGACCCTCGAGACCAGCATGGCAGGTGAGTGCGGAGCAGCCCCGGGCTCGACCATCATCAGCAAAGGTGGGCATATCCATAGATATAGAAGATTGTCTATGAAACTGATAATCTCTCTTAATTATTGTTTCTTTAAAAAAAAATACATCTGAAATAGAATACAGTAGAAACAACAATGCCCTGCCCTCTTCTGTGGTTTGAACTGTTTCATGAGCTCTTTTTCATCTCTAGTAATAACTTCCACCCAACTTTCTGCCCTCATGGTTTTGATTTTTAAGTTCTCCTTCATTACAGCTGAAATCATTTCTTTGCTCTCTTTTTGCATTATACACACACACACACACACACACACACACACACACACACACACACACACACACGCCCCTCCCCCTTGTAGCTACTGAAGGTCGATGAAAAGCCCTCCCCCCCTGCCTCCCATCTGGACAGAGCAGAGCCCTGACATCTTCCCCAGCTGTTTGCCTTTGCAGTCTTGTACTCAGAGCAAACATGGTCCCCGTGGTCCATTTACTCTGTCTCAGTTCACACAAGTCTTCCCAGGTCTCTCTGAATCCCTCCCATTTGCCATAGCTCAAGTCAAAAAGCATTTAGAAAGTGGCTCCTCTGTGCCAGGCCCTGTTCAAACCTCCTGTGGATACAAAGGAAGGAGAAATCAGCCCCATCTTTCAAGGAGCTCACAGTCTGATGTGGGAGACAACATTTAGGCATCTGTGTCCATAAAAGCTAGAGACACTGTAGTGGGGAGGGGAAGGATCCAGCAGTTTCAGGGACCAGGTGTGGTGATTAAAAAGGTTAGAGAGACATAGTTCTGGGTAATTTAATCACTTTAGGCCAGCACATTACTTAATAAAAGCATGGTCATTTGGCCGTCTCTCTTAGACCAAAGACAGTCATGGCACTGTGCTGAGTGCATGGCTACACAAAAAAGCAAACATGAATTTCTCTCCTCAAGGACCTCATCACAGTCTAATAGGTGAGACAACAAGCAAACAGATATGTACAGGCAGGCCGTAGTCAGGATTAACAGTATATAATTAAAAGAAGGAAGGCGCTAGAATTGAGAGGGGCTGGGAAGGGATTCCTGTGAAAGGTAGGCTGTTGTTGTTCCGTCTTCGTTCTTGAAGAGGACCAGTGACATCAATAAGGCAATGTCTTGACTTGCAAGTGAATTGGATTTAAGTGAGGCAGAGCTGTGCAGTCATCAGCCTCACACTCTCTAGAGGCATCTGAGTCCAATGGCAAGACCTATGTCAGGATGACTGGCGATGGCACCGGATGAAGTAGGGGACCTTGGTCTTTTTAACCGAAGGCCTTTCCCAGGTCTTAGTTTATCTGAGGCAATGCCCATTCAGTAGTTAAAGGCCAGTGGGATTTTAGTTGGAACCTGAAAGAAGCCAGGAGACAGAAATGAAGAGGCAGAGAATTCCAGCCATTTAGGACAGCCAAAGAAAATGTGTGGAGCCTAGAGATAGAGTGTCGTCTTTGTGGAATACCAGGGAGACCAGCATCATTGAATCTTGGAGTAGGTGGTAGATAAGGTACAGGAAGATTGTAAAAGCAGGTGGTTTTCAGGTCATAATTGCTTGCTTTGAATACAAGAAGATTTTGTATTTGATCCTGGAGGTGATAGGGAGCCACTGGAGTTTATTGAGTAGGGGAATGACATGGTTCCACATATAGGGAAATCACTTTATTGGCCAAATGGAGGAAGCCAACCCAGCAGCAAGGTATTGCTGTACTCCAGGGATGAAGTGATGAGGGTCTTCACCAGGTGGTTTGTTTGGGAAATGTTACAAAAGCAAAATGAATTGGTATTGGCAACAGACTGGATAAGGAACAATGAGAGATGAGAGTAGAGAATGACACCTAAGTTGTGAGCTCCAAAGATTGGGAGGTTGCTGTTGCCCTTAACAGTAATAGGAAGGTACTAGGATGGAGGAACCTTAAAGGAACAAGATAGTAAATTCTATTTTGTATATGTTGAATTTAAGATATCTACTATAAATCCAGTTTGGGATGTCTGAAAGGAAGTTGTGATCAGAGGTGACTTGAATGGCCTCAATTTTTAAATTAAAATAAGAGGCAAGATATTCAGATGAGAGTGTTTGGGTGGTCAATAGTCAGTAAACATTTTTTTGGTGTTTATGATATGCCAGGCATTATGCTGAAGCCTAAGGAATCAAATACCAAAAAAGAAAAATAGTCCCTGCCCTCATGGAGTTTACAGTCTCAAAGGGGAAGAGAACACACGAAAAGAAGCCCACGAGGGGGCAGGGGAGAACACAGCAGACACTGGGGCATGATGGAGAAGTCAGAAGACCCAAAGTAGTGCAGCCAGGTGAGAAAAGAAACATCTGAGCTCAGCCCTCTTCTCCAGTGAAAGTTTAGCATTCATGGCCCCACCTTCTAATCAGAGTGTCTGGAGGTAATGATGAGATCGAGTACTAAAGCTGCTAAGATGTAACAGGACTATTCCATCCCAACAATAAGCTTCCTGGAGAATGGGGGAAACCACTTTCAGAGAAGTCCAAAAGTAGTGGCATCAGGTGAGAACTGAGATGTTAAAAGGAAACTTGGAGTTCATGACTTCTGCCCATGGTGGTGAAGGATGTATGTGAGAAGTTTGAGAAGGAAGAAGTTTGCAATAGCTTCTATTGTGAGTGAGTTAGAGAATCAATTGGACATGAATTACCAATCAATTAAAGTACTGCCTTCCTCTAGTGAGGGCCCATATGATGAACAGATACCATGCAGTGAAGAATTGTGACTCAGGAGACCCCAGAGAAAAGGAAAGATTTGTTAAAAACTGAGGAAAGACCCATAAATGCCTTAATTACTCAGAAGTTAAATAATTTATGAGTAAAGGAAGTTAAAGGAAAAGTTTAGATTTCAAAAAATCCTGAGTCAAATGTGTTGAGGAAGTAATCAAAATAATAAAAGAGGAAATGATGAAAAGAGTTTTATCCACATGATGAAGAATTGTTCCTAAGTAATTTGTTGTTGTTCATTTGTTTTAGTCATGTCTGATTCTTCATGACCCCATTTGGGATTCTTTTGACAGGGCTACTGGAATGGTTTGCTGTTTCCTTCTCTAGGTTCATTTTATAGATGAAGAAATGAAGGCAAACAGAGTTAAATGACTGGCTTAGGGTCACATAGCTAGTCAGTGTCTGAGACCAGATTGGAACTCAGGTCTTCCTGACTCCACGCCCAGTGTTCTAGTCACTGCACCACTTCACTCCCGATAAATAATAGGACCTCTAAATAAAGCCATCATAACGCTAATGGAAATGGCAGATATGAAATGAGAGCACATTGAATAAGAAGGCATTGGCCAAACGTATTCTATATGTAGCAAGTTGGAAAAATAAATGACCTTTCTCAGGTATCAAGGCATTTTCACATTTGGCTACTCTCGTGTATTTCATCCATCAGTCTGCCTCTTAACCCATTATCCTGACTCTTGATGTCCAGTGATCTAGAGTTTTAGGGGTACAATTAGAAAACTTACTTCTCATAAGCTGGTAATGACTTTCTCATGCATTAGCTCAATCTCCCACTTTAAATAATGAAATATTACATTTTGAATAAATGATGGAAACATCCTTTCCCCATCATAATTACTCTTATTCTGTATAACTCAGTATGAATATCAGTGAACGTATGTCATTAAGAAGTGAAAGCAATCACAAAGCAAAGACATGAGATATTTTATAGAACACATATCTTCTGTATGATTCCATAGGAGGAAACATTTCATAGTAAGATATTTGTTAACTTTTTTACAACTACAAATATAAAATTCTTTTTTCTCAGTATTCCATTGGGCTCTTAATCACTGTGGTTTTAAGTGTTGTTGTTGACAATCATAAATCATTTGATGTTTAGGAAACCCCTTCTCTGTGCTTCAGTTTCCTCCTGTAAATTGACAAAGGTTGGACTGGATGAATTCTGAAGTCTCTTTCAGCTCTAAGTCTTGTGAATTTTGATGGTTAGGAGTTACTGACATTCAAGGATGTGGCTGTGGACTTCACCCAGGAGGAGTGGGGCCTCTTGGACCATTCTCGGAAAGAGCTCTACAAGGAGGTGATGCTGGAGAACTCCCAGAACCTGCTCTCCCTGGGTAAGCACAACTTCCCCTGGGAACTCAGAATCTGCCATCAAAGGAGTGTCTTCTTTCCCTGACTGTCATGCAGGGTTTGAGCATTTATCACTTATTAGGAAGGCAAAAGTGGTGGTCTCTCAATAGGGTCCTCCTGCTGCTTAGTTTTCCTGATAAAGGTCTTTGCATTTTGTGCTAGGAAGCTGTGACTGTCCTTTGTTGCTCCTGAAGCTGTGTCTTTCCTATTTTATAGCTACATGTTACAAAACCAACAAGGGTTATAGAACATCAGACTTGGAACTACTCTCACAGATTATCTAGCTGAGGCCCTGCTGGTAAAATGAATTTTTTCTGCAAAATCTCTGAAAACTCCTCATGCACCTTTTCCTTGAAGAAGGGCAGTGAAGGGAACTCCCTACTCACCAAGGCCACTCTTTCCTCCTTGGGATGAGTCTAGTCTGAAAGCTGTTCTCAACAAGCATAAAGTTATAACTAATCACTCCTAGTCCTGCTCTGTATATCTTTGTTCTTCCTTCATTCTCCTCCCAAATTCTAGCATAGATGGTAGGAAAGGAAAGGAATAAGCATTTACACAGACCTACTATATGCTAGTTACCATGCTGAGTGCTTTGTAAATTTTATCTCATCTGATCCTCACAATACCCTGTGGGTTTGGTGCTACTAGTACCCCCATCTTACATTTGAGGAAACTAAGGCAAACAGAAGTTTGCCCAGGGGCACACAGTTACCAAGGGTCTGAAGCTAAATTTGAACTCAAGTCTTCATGACTCCAGACCCAGGGCTCTCACTACTGAATTAGTAGCAGGCTCCAATTTCTAGATAACGGAAGCTATGGAATGCGACCATGTTTCTATAAAGGCAGTAGACAAAGACAGAATGTTCTTATTCCTCCCTACCTAACCCTTCCTTCAAGCTGTCAACAATAGATATCATGTCAACCATCCTTGAGGAGTCCTGGGAGCCCTCCTGTGGTCCTTACTTGTATGTCCCCTTTCCCTAAAGAGGAGTAAAGTCTAAGTTTCTCTTCATCATCACTCCTTCCTTATTCCCCATGTCAAGGAATTCCAGTTCTCAGAGAAGATTTGATCTCCCATTTTGAGGAAAGGGAAGCATCGTGGATCCTGGATCGAATTGACCTGAGGAACTCCTGTCCAGGTGAGTGAGATGAAAGCAGGGGAGTGAGGGCTGTTATCACAAGAAGCATCTGTGTTGTAGTGAAGGGAGTGCTAGGCTTGGGGCAAGAAAACCTGACTTGGAATTCATGATTACTTGCTTTTGAGCAGTATGATTTTGGGAAAGTCACTGAACCTCTGAGCCTCAGTTTTTCCCCTCTGAGAAATTAGGAGTTTGGACACCGTGGGCTTTCATTTCCCTTCTACTGATTAATCTGTGATCCTTTAAGAACTCATTGTTTAGAATTTTAGGACGTGGAAATCTCCTGAAAGCATTTAAAAAGGGTATTATTTGTGGCAGAGAGGAGCCAGTAGAGAGGAAAAGATTGAAAATTAGTGGGGAAAAATGGTGATGAAAGAGGAGGGAATATTCTGAGGTGAAAGACCCAATCCAATAACATAATCTTATAAACATTTTTAAGCACCTACTATGTGCCAGGCATCATGACAAGTGCCAGGGATATAATTAATCAAAATGACTGTCTCTGCCCTTAAGGTGCTTACGTTATAACGGTAGTGGGGAAAAACACCAAAGGATGCAAGAAAGAATGGGAGAGGGAGAAAGAAAGCAGGGCATACCTGGTGTGGAGGCATCTTGTATGCAGTTGAAATTAGGCAGAGCGGTAGTTGCAGAATAGAGTGAGCCAAAGGTGCAGTTAGGCATTGGGAGAAGTTTGGCACTCTGCCCTCCAGCCCTCTCATCGAAAGATAGAACAGACTTAGGGATATGGAGTCAGTCAATGCTTGTTCTTATTTAGTATTTTATGTTGCCCCGGTTACATGTAAAAACAATTTGAAACGTTCATTATTAAAACTTGAGTTCCAAATTCTGTCATAGATTATACATGTGTGGTCATGCAAAACACTGCCATAATAGTCATGTTATGAAAGAAAACGTAGACAAAAGAAATCCTCAAGAAAAATAAAGTAAAAAAAGTCTGTTTCAATGTGCATTCAGACAACATCAGTTCTTTGTCTGGGGATGGATAGCATTTTTCATCATCAGTCCTTCAGAGTTTTTTTGGATCATTGTATTGCTGAGAATAGCTAAGTCATTCATAGCTGATCATCCTACAATATTACTATTGTACATAGTACATTACACTTTTCATCAGCATATATAATTATGTCTTTCCAGGTTTCTGTGAGAGCATCCTGCTCATCATTTCCTATAGTATAATAGTATTCCAACATAATTACATACCACAACTTGTTCAGCCATTCCCCATTTGATGGGCATCCCTTCAGTTTCTAATTCTTTTGCCCCAGAAAAGAGCTGCTATAAATATTTTTGTACATATATATCCTTCTCTTTTTTGTTTTTTTAAGTCTCTTGGGATACGGACTTAGTAGTGGTATTGCTAGCTCGAAAGGGTATGCATGGTGTTTTAACCCTTTGGGCATCTTTCCAAATTGCTCTACAGAATGGTTGCATCAGTTCACAGCTCCACCAACAGTGTATTAATGTCTCCTTTTTCCCACATTCCCTCCAACATTGGTCATTTTCCTTTTCTGTCATATTAGCCAATCTAAGATGTATGAGGTAGTACCTCAGAGTTGTTTTAATTTGCATTTCTCTAATCAGTACTGAGTTAGAGTATTTTTTCGTATGGCTATAGATTGCTTTGATTACTTTATCTGAAAAGTGACCATATCTTTTGATCACTTATCAATTGGGGAATGCTCTCATTTTTATAAATTTGATTCATTTCTCTATATGTTTAAGAAATGAAGCCTTGATCAGAGAAACTTGCTTCAAATCACAGTTTTAGTTATGATTGCTAACTATATTTCCCTCTATCCTATCCCCCCTACCCCCGCCATTTATTCTTTTCTCTTTCTCCTTTCACCCTGTCCCTCCTCAATAGTGTTTTGCTTCTGACTACCCCTGTCAATGCTTTAGTTACCAGCGTGATGAGGAGGTAAGAGCTTAACCTGGGAGGGTTTAAATGGATGGATTGCAGTCATTTATCCAAGTAAAAGAGCTTGCCTTGGCAAGCAGAACGGCCACCTCTTAATGGGAGACTGGGGCAAAGGAGGAAAAGAGAGCTTTTGGCAAATGTCTAATTTTTCAATGAAATATGAGGTCAGGTTCTCAGCTAAGAGAGGTGGGAGGGGAGTACAACAAAAAGGATGAAAAGATTTGGAAAAGACACTGTAATGAGTGGAATAGTGAGTCCAGGAGAGGTAGAAGGATCACCTGCTGCAGTGAGCAGTTAACAGAATTCATGTAACCTAAATTTGTAGTAGACACAGCCAGGTTGTTTTCATGATTCCCATTCAGCAGCATGCAGGTAGAAAGGAAGATCATTGCCTTACTTAGAAGTAATTATCCAAGGCTGAGACTTGCAAAAGTCATCAATCTAAGGCCCTTTCCTCATCTTTATGATCCACTCTTTGTCTCCATTTTCAGAAAAACCTTCATTGAAAGTTAGAGACTGCCTGGCATCCCATAGTACCAAACTGTCCAGCAACCTAGAAATCTTTGTGATCGTCCATATTTGGTCTGGTCAGGTTCCATCCAGGTTTGAACCAGAGAAAGGTAATTCCTTGTAAGTGATAAGATGCAAGAGATAGAAAGAAATAGGGCTGAGGCCAGAACATGCATTTGATAGTTAAGCAAGAGACCAGAGTCTAGGGAACAAGGGTTAGATCCTGGCATCATCCTTGGGATGTCAGTCAATAAACATTGATTAAACACCTACTGTGTTCCAGGCACTGTGCTAAGCTCTGGGGATACCAATAAAGTCAAAAGATAGTCTTTGCTGTCAAGGAGCTCACAATCTGGCATACAAACAGAGGTAGTTTCAGAAGAAACAATTGATTTAAGAACCTCTCTCTTAGCTGATTTAAGCAAAGGAGGGTGTTTTGCTATGGAAATACATAAGTTCAACAGGGAAATAAGTGAATAGAAGATGAGAGGACAAGAGCAGTTTAAGGAGAGCAGAGGTGGTGAGGAAATAATCAAAATCAAAATCCAGATGATAAAAGGTAACATTTATGTAGACCCTGCCATGTGTCAAGTGATTTACAAGTATCTCATTTGATCCTCACAACAACCCTGGAAAGTCAGTGTCGTTATTATCCCCTTTTTACACATAAGGAAATTAAGGCAACAGAAGTACTGTGACTTGCCTAGTGTCACACAGGTAGCAAGTTTTGGGGTCTGTATTTGAACTCAAGTCTTCTTGACTCCAGGCCCAGTGCTGTATCCACTATGGCACCCAGCTGCCACAAGATGGAAAGTGTTTCCACCATAGAAGATGATTTATTTGGGGGAGATTAAAAGAGAGAAGGCTTTTAGGTAGTGTTTACAGCCAGTCATCTAGGACTATAATGGATGGATGAAAAGGTGGGGTGAGGAGTGGGGAGCATGCCATTCCTTTTCTAAATAAATAATGTTGATCCCACTCCTTTTCCCCATCTATTTTTGGTTTTTAAAGATTGAGGCAGGGGAAAAGAGGATAAGAGCATATGATGGAGAAAACTTAATTGCCATAACTAAGTGTGCATGGGATGAATTCACCCATAATAATGGAGGAGGGTAGCAGAATGCATTAGGAAGCAGAACCCTACTACATGTTCTGGCTAGAAAACGCCCTTGAAACAAAGATTCACCCAGCATTAAAATGAAGAGATTTCATTGTGTAATACAGTTTGGAATTCTGCCTCCACACTCATTCACCTGGATGTCCTTTGACCCATAACCACTAATAGGTCTATCAACTAAAGGGATTAAAGAGAAAAGACATGACACAAATTTGTAGCTGCTATTTTTTATTGTTGCAAAGAACTGGAAACAAATATGGCACCCATATATTAGTAAATGACTGAATAAATGCTGGTCTAAGAATATAGTGGAAGATTGTTGAGCCTTAAGAAGCTATAGAAGGCACAGTTTCAGAGAAAGCTGGGAAGAGTTGTCTGAACAAACGCAGAGATAAGTGAACAGAACCAGTAGCGACATTGATCAGTGCGATGAAAGACCAATCTCAGAGCAGTGGTTCCCAAAATCTTTTGTTCTTAGGACCTCATTCACCAATAGCAAGAGGTGCATTGTGAAACCCCCCAGTCATTTAAACTACTGTTCATGTAATTCATACTAATTTTGCACTTAATTCCTACAATAATGACCTGGAAAACTTTTGTACCTCAGTGCTCCAAATCTGTGCTGTCATTACAATGTATTATTATAAAATGTAAAATCTTATTCTGCTTAAGTTGTGAAAACAAAATATAAATGACAATATTGTAAGAATAAAATAATTATGAAAATTTAATATAGGGCTTTCTGTAAGAATTTTTAGAAATACAGTAAGACTTCTTATTACCTGTAAGACTTTTAAGTTAAATTTCTTTACAGATTTTGTTGACTATGAATAGCATTTTTTTCATCTTATAAGTTATAACTTGGAAGTTGTTAAACGTAATGAAATTCATTTCATAGTTGGACTTTTTTCCCTGAACAAAAATTTGCACTCTTTGTTTCAACAGTTGTCAAACTCAGTCTTCAATGTAGTTCTGCTTCTAGTTTAATGAGAAAAACAACAACAGAAGTTATTTCGTCTCAGACATTATCTCATTTATCCTCCAAATGCTGTGAGGTGGGTGATGTTGTTATCCCTGTTGTACAGTTGAGGAAACAGAGGCAAGAAGAGTCTAAGTGCCTTGCCCAGAGTCACAGGACTAATAAATGTCTGAGGTAGGATTCGAACTCAGGTCTTCTTGACTGCTAGGCCCAGTTCTGTATCCCATTTGAATTGTGGTTTGTAGCCAGAATACCATGAAAATGTTCTCTCACACATGGATGACGTGGAAAATGGTAAAAGAGTTTTACATTCTTTCTTGCTGAGGGATGGAAATTAATTTTTTATTTTTAGTCCACAAACCAGTCACCAAAATGAATCACTAGTTAATATATGAAAGATTTATTTTTTTATTTGCAATGACGAGTGGTGTATTAAATGACAAATTCCCTTGAAATTCATTTGCCTGTTTTGCTTTGCTTTTTTTTTATAATGTTTTTATATAAAACAGTGTTTGTAAGGAAAGGACTCTTCAGACATAAGTCTCTTCTTTCTGTCATTGGTACATTGTCTACACTCTCACTGACACTCTGCCAATTGACTGACCTGTGTTGCCAACCAGTTTCTTTGAGAATCTGCAATAGAAGAAGATAAGTTCAGATTTTAAAAATAGCCTTAACTCTACAATAAGAGGCAGTATGGGGTTTTTTTGTAGAATGGTTCTGATGGTCTCTGATGGTTTCAAGGTGTTTTATAATGCCTGTGCCTAGTGAGCATGTTTTTCAAAGAAGCTACCCTCTGCACTGCAAAAATGCAAACATTTGTACCTTCTTGATTGATAATTACAACACTGATGAGATACAATTTCAAGGTAACCCTGGAATGAGGGAGCTACTCTGGTGCACTATACTATAGATACTGAATGAGGGTATGTATGTTAGTGTGATCATCCGATGGGCATTGATTTGTGCTTGAATGTCAAACCTTTCTGGCGGTTTGGAAACAATTTGATGACAGGTTGAGAAGCAGAATATGCTTTACTTAGTCAAAAGGAATCAAAGTTCGATGTAATCACTGTGTAAACACCAAAATCATTATATGCCTGATCATGACTATTTGGAATCACTGCATAAAGAAACCTTTTATGTTTCAAACATGCACATATTTATTGTCCCAGAGGAAAAATATATTTGTAATAGAATTGGGCTATTACTTACTGCTTAACATGCCACTAAAGAATTTTTAGCTCAGCTCTCTTAGACCATAATCATTAATCCCCACTGTGTTCATGAACCATTAATTAGATTAAAAAAAGATCACCAGAGACATTACATCATGCTCAAAGATATTGTAGATAATGAAATAATATCAATTTTAAGTATATGTGCAGCAAATGGCATAATATCTATGGATCTGAATAGAATATAAGAAAAGTTGAATACAACACTGAAAATTAATGACAGGTGAAAAATGTAAACCCATTTCTTAGCTTAACATATGAAATTTACAAAGGATGAGAAAATGATAATGCATTAAAGCTGGTCAATATGGAAAAACAGAAAGCTTTCCTGAATATAACAGAATAAAAAGAATAATCAGCAAAAGGCATTTCAGTAAAGGATTGCAAGTGAAATGGAGTAAGGCAATCTAGTGCTATGGATTGAGCATGGTCAGTCCTAGGGTTAGAATTCTAGCCTCACCTGCAGGGATGTTGGTTATGTCAATTGGCTATTCTGAGCTCATGGCTTCAGTTGTAAAGGGTAATGAGAATCCCATCCTGCTTGTGTCAGTTTGTTGTGAGGATCCAATGTTATTGTTTGTGAAGTTCTTTGTAAATTAAATCATCCTGTAGATTTGAGCTAATAACATTTTCAATTAATGGATTCTTCCCATTAAGTTTGAAAATTCTTTTTGACTGGGGGGATAGAATATGTCTGTTTACTCTCTTCCAGTGGAGGGAAGAAGATTTATTTATGTCCATGTGTCTATAAATATTTTTGTTTCCTTTAGATGCACAGATGAGGTCTGAAGTGAATGAGCCTACCACAAAGCTAAGCATTTCTGTGGAAGAATCTCACCAGCAAAGATACCTGAGTGATAGTCCCTGTGACTTGAATTTGAGAGAAATCTGTAACTTGGATATCAAGATAGAGAAAAATCTAAATAATCACTGTGAATCTGATAAAGATAGAAAAGATTTCAAACAATATTCAGTCCTAATTCAATGTAAGAAAATGACCTCAGGTAATGAGTGTTTTCAGTGTGGTGAAGATAGGGAATGCTTTACTGAAAAGGTTGGGCTTCTGCAGTCTCCTGAGAAGCCTCCTGAGATGCAAATGTATCAAACTAATCAGCGGGAAATTGCCTTCAGCTTGAGTTCAGAGATCATTACCCATCAGAAAAGTTATACTGGAAAAATGGTTTATATATTTAATGAAGATGGGAAGACCTTTCGCCAAAACTCAAAGCTCATTGGCCACCATAAAATTCATACTGCAGGGAAACCTTATGAATGTAATCAATGTGGAAAGGCCTTCACAAATAGGTCCAGTCTTGCTATACATGAGAGAATCCACACTGGAGAAAAACCTTATGAATGTACTCAATGTGGAAAGACTTTCAGAACAAGATCCAGTCTTAGTGAACATCAGAGAATCCACACTGGAGAAAAACCTTATAAATGTAATCAATGTGGAAAGACTTTCAGACAGAGCTCCAGTCTTTATCTTCATCAAAGAATCCACACAGGAGAGAAAACTTACGAATGTATTCAATGTGGAAAGACTTTTACAAAAAGGTCCACTCTTGCTAACCATCTGAGAATCCACACTGGAGAGAAACCTTATGAATGTACTCAATGTGGAAAGACTTTCAGAACAAGATCTAGTCTTAGTGAACATCAGAGAATTCACACTGGAGAAAAACCTTATAAATGTAATCAATGTGGAAAGACTTTCAGACAGAGCTCGAGTCTTTATCTTCATCAAAGAATCCACACTGGAGAAAAGATTTACGAATGTAATCAATGTGGAAAAACTTTCACAAAAAGATCCACTCTTTCTATACATCAGAGAATCCATTCTGGAGAGAAAATTTATGATTGTAATCAGTGTGGAAAGGCTTTCCCAGATAGGGCCAATCTTGCTAACCACATAAGAATCCACACTGGAGAAAAACCTTTTGAATGTAATCATTGTGGAAAGGCTTTCACACAGAACTCCAATCTTGCTAACCATCTGAGAATCCACACTGGAGAGAAACCTTATGAATGTAATCAGTGTGGAAAGGCTTTCACACAGAACTCCAGTCTTGCTGTGCATCAGAGAATCCACACTGGAGAGAAGCCTTATGAATGTAGTCAGTGTGGAAAGACTTTCAGACAGAACTCCAGTCTTGCTGTGCATCAGAGAAGCCACACTGGTGAAAAACCTTATGAATGTAATCAATGCGGAAAAACTTTCAGACAGAGGGCCTCACTTGGTCAACATCAGAAAATCCACTCTGGAGAGAAGTTGTAGGAATATAATCACTGTGGGAAGGCTTTCGGACAGAGCTCTAGTTTTCCTCTTCATGAAGGAATCCACACTGGAGAGAAACCTTATGAATATAACCAATGTGGCAAAGCCTTCAAGTGACAGTCATCCCTAATTTCCCATTAGAAAATTCCTAGGGTGCAGCTAGGTGGCACAGTGGATAGAGCACCAGCCCTGGATTCAGGAGGACCTGAGTTCAAATTTGGCCTCAGACACATAACACTTACTAGCTGTGTGACCCTAGGCAAGTCACTTAACCCCATTGCCTAACCAAAAAATAAATTCCTATAAGGTAGAAATTTTATCAGCATAACAAATGAGGAAAGATATTCGAGTGGAGCATAGAGCTTGTTCAGCACCAGAAAATTAGTTTTGGGAGGATGCCCTATATGGACTAAATGGGGGAAGGCCTTCAACCAGAGAGTATCTCTTAATTTACATCGGAGGATTCATAGTAGAGAAAAATATTGTGTATTTGCTCAAGGGGGACATGATTTTCTCTGGAAGAAAGAGATCACTAGACATGAGAATATTTGTACTGGAAAGAAGGCTTATAAAACCAATGCCTTTTGTAATGTCAAGGCCTTCACATAGAGCTCATGCTTGATTATAAATTGGAGAAATCATGAGGGAGATTAAAACTTTTGGATCTAAATAATGAGGTGAGGCCTTTTGCTGTGGTAGACTATTGTAGACATCCTAAATTTCATACTGTTAATAAAGCCCTATAAATATAATAAATTTTTCCTTGAAATCCTAATGTTTGTCTTTACTCTTCAATAATATTCCATAGCATTAATATACCAAAGTTTCTTCAGCCATTCCCTAATTAATTAGTACTCACTTTGTTTCCTGTTCTTTGGTGGCACAAAAAGTCCTGGTATAAATATTTTTGTTATCTGTTGGACATTTATTTCTGTAATAATTTCATTAAACACAAGGTAGCCCAATGAATAGTGTGCTGTTCCTGGAACCACAAGACCTGAGTTCAAATTTAATCTCTAACACTAGTGCATGACCTTGGGCAAGTCACTTAACTTATTCCCGCCTGATTTTCCCTATCTGTAGAATAGGGATAGTACTGGCAACTACTTCCTAGGGTTGATATGAGGAACAAATGACATAATATTAGTAAAGAGCTTTGCAAATATTAAATCACAATGGAAAAAATTAGCTCTTGTTATTTATTTCATGGGCTATAAACCTCATAGTAAAGTTAATAGGCTAAAATATATAGACAGTTTAGTCTTTTAATTCAAGTTGATATTCAGTACAGGGTAGAGGAAGACACTAAGTGTAACAGGACACTGCATTTTGAATCAGGAAAACAGGTTCAAATCCTGCCACAAATGCTGTCTAGCTCAGTGTTTCTGGGAAAGGAACAATGACTGATCAAAAATAATCAATTTTGTAAAGAGCAAACAGTTTAAAAGATTTCACAATTGTGATTGTCGTAATGACCAATATGTGTTGCAGAGGATTTATCAAGATCTTCACTACCTGTTTCCTGAATTAGAGGTGATGGATATAAGATGTAGATCAAAGTACATTTTAGGACATGGACAGTGTAGGAATTTATTTTGGTTGACTGCTTTCCTGGAAATTTTTTTTTTCAATTTTGGGTAGGAGAGAGTGTCACGAAGGGAGATTAGTAATAGGATTGCTGTTTCACAACTTTAAAAAGAAAAGGGAATTGATGGATAGTGTGTGTGTGTGTGTGTGTGTGTGTGTGTGTGTGTATAGCAATTGGGGGTTAAATGACTTTCCCAGGGTCCCACTAGCTCGTTAAGTGTCAAGTATCTGAAGCTGGATTTGAACTCAGGTCTTTCTAACTTCAGGGCCAGTCCTCTACCCACTGTGCCACCTAGCTGCCGTGATGGGTTTTTTAAATACATGCAGTAGGACAGGAAGAAGACCAGAAGGAATGAGGATAACTTTGAAAGTGATGTGTTAAATTTTTTTAAATTTCTCCAAAAGAAAATCCTGCTCTGTATATTAGAACTTGTTTCATGCGTTTTTACTCTTTTTCTGTTTTATGGTTTATATAAAGTGCTTTTATTTGATTTTTGTGAATTTCAAAATTAAAAATAAATACTAATGGTTTCCTTTTTTTGTCATTTTCACCAATTTTAAAGGCATGACAGGAAATTGCAAAATAATTTTAATATGACTGTCTCTTAATATTGGTACTTTGGGATGTGTTTTCATGTGGTGGTTATAGTTCTCAGTACTTTTGAAAACTTCATATCCTTTCAACATGCATCTATTAGCAATGGCTCTTGGTACACAGTGGTGTCAGTTGTCTATATATTTTGGTTATAAATAAATTTTATTGGTCATTTTGATATAACATTTGATATATTCTCCACCCTATAATTTTTTTCTTATTTGATCTTCACTTATTCAAACCTTTTAAATTTTATATATTAGAATTATCTTTTTTTTTTTAGGCAATCAGGGTTAAGTGACTTGCCCAGGGTCACACAGCTAGTAGGTGTCAAGTGTTTGGTCTGAGGTCGGATTTGAACTCAGGTCCTCCTGAATCCAGGGCTGGTGCTCTATCCACTTTGCCACCTAGCTGCTCCCCCCCCCCTTTTTTTTTGAATTATCTATTTTTGAAAACAAAATCTAGTACAAAAAAAAATCTATATCTTGGATTAAAAATTCAAGCCACAATTGTGAATGGTACCTGAATATGTTTTTTTCTTTTTTTTTTTTAATAATTCCATCAACAAAAATTCCACCTCCCTTTTCTACTCAACTCAAATGAGCAAGAAAGGAAAACAACCTCCCTAGTAGATACATGTATAACCAAGGACAATATTCTTGCATCGTCCAAGTCCACAAAAATAGCTCTTATTCTGCACTGAGTCGTGCATCTCTATCAGGAGGTGCGTAGCGTATTTCGTCATTTGTCCTCTGGTGTCATAGTTTGTAATTGTGTTGACCAGAGTTCCTCAGTTTTTGACCATTCTTTTTATTTGCAATATTTTTGTTACTGTATGAATTTTTCTCCTGGCTCTGTTCACTGAACTTTGCTTCAGTTCATAGAAGTCTTCTCAGGTTTCTCTGAAGCCATCTTCATATTGTCTTACCACACAAATGTATGTCGTCAGATTCACATACCATCCCTTGTTCATCCATTCTCCAATTAATGGGCATCCCCTCAGTTTCTAATTCTTCATCATTGCAAAAAGAGATAAATGTTTTTCTACATCCTTTAGTTTGTTGTGATTAGGACTAATCCCTCCCATATCTACCTTCCCTCTTCTTCACCCTTCTGCCTTTTCCCCTTTCCTGTCTGTTTCCTGGTTTAGTAAAGTGTTTTTATGTACCCAAATCTGTGTGTTTGAGTTCTTTCTTACTTTGTTCAGTTGAGATAAGAGTGAGGTTCAAATATCAGCTCCCCCCCACCACCAATAGCAACTCAGTCTTCCTTTGTAGTATAGACTTCTGCCTTTTTGTATTGATTATGTGAAATGATTTTCCCTAACCCTTGTCTTCCTTACCCCTCCTCTGCCCAGTGGGTACCTCTTCCCTTCCCTTTCCATTCTTTTAAGGTCATCAAGACATAATACACCCTTTCCCAGATCTTCTAATTCCTGTTATCGTCCCTGATGATGCTTGGGTTCAGAGGGGACACATATCATCTTTTCCATATTAAAATGTAAGAACTTTATCCTGGTTAGTCAATTATTTTCGATTTGTGTTTCCTTTTTCATTTCTCGACTCTAGTCTTTGATTTTCACTGTTTATATTCTGCCTTGACTTTTCATTAGCAATGGTCAGAAGCTCTCTGTTTCATTAAAGAGATATTTTTCTCCTTTGTCGGATTATACTTCTTTCTTGTGGCTAAGTTATTCTTGGTTGTGAGCCAATATCCTTTGTCTTCTGGAAGTGGTTGCTAAATCATGTGTGGTCATAACTATGGCTCCTCAGTATTTGAATTTGTTCTTTCTGGATGCTCACAGTAATTTTTCTTTGACCTTATAAAGCCCTAGGTGTGTGATGATCCTATGAGTTTTCACTGTGAAATTTCCAGAGGTGACTGGTGAATTCTGTTTCTACTTTGACCTCAGGTTCTAAAGAGTCCTGGGCAGTTTTTTAAAAAATAGAATGTCTAGGCTCTTATTCTGTTCATAGCTTTAAAATATAATAGCTAAACTTTATATAGCACTTCCTTTGTGCCCAGTACTGTGCTAAGTGATTTACAGTTATCTTATTTGATCCTCCCAACAACCATCCTGTTGCAGGAATTTTCAGTCCTTTTAGCAATAGCATGAACAAGGTAACTCAGGATACAGAAAGACAAGTGCACTGAAGTTTGTTTATCCACTCAAGATTGTGACATACACAGTCAGTAGGTGATAGACATGTGTGTTCTTTAATACCCAGAAGGCATATACATACATGCACATATACACATATAATGTATGTATGTATATATAGTTGTTCAGTTGTATCAGACTCTGTTATCCCTTTTGGGGTTTTCTTAGTAAAGATAACTGGAGTAGTTTGCCATTTCCTTCTCCAGCTCTGCTCATTTAACAGAAGAGGAAACTGAGACAAACAGGGTTATGTGACTTGCCCAGGGGTCACATAGCTAGAAAGTGTCTTGAAGCCAAATTTGAACTCAGAAAGATGAGTCTTCCAGACTTCAGTCCTGGCACTCTACTCTGCCACATAGCTGCCCATACAATTGTATCATTGGAAAAGTACCTCCTCTTTTGATAGACATTGTTGTCATTATTGTTAAAACAAACTCAAATAGGGGGCAGCTAGGTGGCACAGTGGATAGAGGACCAGCCCTAAAGTCAGGAGGACCTGAGTTCAAATGTGGCTTCAGAACAAAACACTTGACACTTTCTAGCTGTGTGACCCTGGGCAAGTCATTTAACCCCAGTTGCCTAAAACAAAACAAAACAAAAAACATTCAAATAATTAATTGAGTATATGTTGCTTTAAAATGAATAATAGTAATTACTCTTTGGGAAAGTATCTCACACTTTGTAAATATCTGTGAATTTCTTTGGAGGTGTGGCAGATTTTTAGTTCCCTGGATCTTCACTTGAGGTCATAAAATCTTATCAACTGTGTGTGAGAAGTTGTTGAAAGAATGATGAGAAGTTCTAAAATGATGAAGTTGATTAATGAGAAACTAGAACCTCACAGCTGAAATAAAAGGGGCTCACAAGTTTCTTTTTTAACTAGA